ACTGGACTGAAATGGCTACTTTAAAAAACGGTCGTAGGTAATAGTTGTGTGTGCAACTAGTGAGAAAAGTGAGCAATTGACTCACTCGAGAGAAATCCTTACTCACGAGCCGTAGGCGAGTGAGGAATGTTTCTCGAGTGAGGCAATTGTACTTTGCACTCGAGTTGCACATTATACTTTTCCTACAGTTACCATAAAACAAAAAAATTGGTGAAGAAACATAACCTATTTTTGCACAGAAGTGAACTTTTAATATAACATTTAATGTGAAGTGACAAATACAACAGTACAGTACAACAGCTGACCAGCTGATTTACAGCCAGTGCTGCCAACGTATTTCGCGCGCATACGACGTTGCCTGCATGTTACGCGCTCACTATTTCGTGCCTTCACGTTGCAAATCTGGAGTGAGACAATGTTAACATTGTTAACAATGTTAACATGTGTTAACATGTGTTAACAATGTTAACATTGTCTCACTGATGAGCCAATTGGCCACTTTGCTTTCTCAAATCAGTGAGAGAACATGTACATTGTTAGTTAACTGTAGGAAAAGTTTTTTTTATTTGTTTTACCATGGAAGCACATTTTTTCTACCCATCCAAGTTTTTTTTAAGCAAGTTATCATTTTAAAGAGAATTGAAGAAAGAATAATACAACATAAAAACTAAATTTTTATGAATACAAAATTTTTTGTCGTCTGACCCCCCCCCCAGACAGCACACTTTCTCCTCAGGACATCCCACGGATATTGCGACAGGATATGCAAGATATCCCATAGTGGTCCTATGGTCAACTTGGGATATCACAGGATATCCACAGGAATGCGTAATGTCCCCGCCCGGGGATGTCCTACGGATAAGCTCACACGCATATCCATGGGACATCCGAGGTCATCCCAGGGTAGTCCTCAGGACATTCTCAGGACATATGGGACTACTATGGGATGTCCCTGGGATAAAGTGTGGTCTGGGCCTGAACATAAAAAACACAAAATAATATAGATTTAGTATGAAAAGCTTAATTATAAGTTTAGTAAATTGATTAAATAGTTAATAAACAAAAATTTTGAAGAAAAAAACGAGAAAAAAGTTTTTGGCCCAGACGGGTTTTGAACCTGGTACCTTCGCCTTGTGAGCCTCTTACCTTTCCTCCTGAGCTATCTGCGCTTGTTGATTATGGGTGTTTTCAAGTGGTTAAAGAGTAGCCGACAGTTGCAATGGTCGCAATACTTAAAATATTTTTGATACTACAGTATAGGCTATATATGATTCTGTTAATCTGTTTAGGCCTCAAGTAGTTGAATTGTTTTTTCTGGTAGTTGGAGAGGATACTGGTATTTGAATATAGATTATTTAATCACCATTAGATTAGCACTGTAATAATTGATTGTTATATGATTAAAATTAGTTTTTTGTTGTTTTATTAATTTAAAGTTAGAATTAAATTCACATTTCACACAACTATGATAGAATTCTAGTTTTCCTGAACTCAGTGGTAGTAATATGTCAGTAAAGTAAAGTCAACCCTTGCTAGCCATAGTATTAACAAGACATATTTTCAATCTGGGAAACCTTAAACTTTTAAAATAAATTATAAAACCTCAACATCTTAATGCGTGGGAATCTAATTTTTAGAAAAAAAAACAGACCAAAATTATTTGTTAAATAATGAAGACGGCCCAATTATAAATTCGGAATTACTGAAAATAATTACATCAAGAACAACACTGTAACATATCCAAAATTCAAAAGATTAATTTTTCTAATATTATTTTTTATTTTTCCAATATCCTTTAAATCATCTGTTTTAACTTTGTTTAAAATTAATTTATTAAGTAAATATTTACTTTCTGTACTAGTGTAAACACAGCCTGAAGATGGAAACCAAGTTTCTGAAAGCACTAGTGAAAAAAACAAATTATTATATATTATTGGCCTTGTTGAACATTTAAATTTAGATATACTGTACATTTCATCAGTGGTAGTATTTTTTTCTTCAGTTTGTTACCGGGACATTACAGGATATCCAGTGGATTTTTTACATGTCCCGGGATGTCATGGGACATTCTGGGATATCCTATGGCATTCGTACATATCCCGGGACTTTACAGGATATCCTGAGGTTAACTTACAAATCCCGGGACATTACGGTATATTGTAGGATATCCTGTGGATTTCGTACTCGTCCCGGGATTTTGCGGGATATCCTGAGGATAGCGCACATATCCCGAGACATTCTCAGGACATATGGGACTACTATGGGATGTCCCTGGGATAAAGTGTGCTGTCTGGGCCTTAAACCATAACATCGGGAACTTAGTATAAAATCGACTGCAAAATTTGTACCGGACAAGGAAGCGGAGCTAATAAAAACGTTTTACAATAGAACAATTTATGCAACCAGGAATCTTGACACCTTAATTTTGTCTTCTAAAGGGAAGAATATAACAAGCAAAAATATAATATTGTGATAACTTGCCTTTGAAAAACATACCCTATGTTGATGATTTTTGTTTTCATTTGTTTAAACCTAAGTCTATAATATGCTAGGTAATGACCTAATATTAATCATTCTCAGAGGATATGGGTGCTCTTGGAAATGGAGTATAGGTATGATAATATCCAACCCTTGAGAACTGATAATACAGATCTAAAGCAGTTCATATATTAACTTAGTCTAAGTTAATATATGAACTGCTTTATAAACCCATGATTGTTAGCTGGTAGTAGGGGAAATGGAATTATTACTCCTGAATAATTGTCATTTTGGGTCACGGCATAGCCATCAATAATATACTATAACTTTTAGATCCGTCAATATAGTTTATCCGCAAGACTGGGACAGTGGCGACGTCATGTAGCTATACTAGGAGGTCACAAATTGTGGATATTTAAAGGCATGCACTGTGGATACAATACTCCCTGGTGTGGATTAACGTCCGCACTAGTGAGTACTACGACTATTCTGATAATTAGACCAATTCGTACCAAGGCGAAAATGTGGTTTCGATTCCACTATAAACTGTAGGTCCCTTAGTTGCCATTAGCTGTATGGGCTATTAATTAACAGCACAAAGCTGTGTCTAAGGAATATTTCACCCTAAGTCACTAACAAGACTACAAGCAGATCGCGCCCCTCATTCTATACACTCATCTCCATTCATACTTGGCTAAAAATACCTACTTTGTATGGTCGCCATTTCATTGAAAAGTATTATAGATCTACAGGGTGTCCCGGAACTCTCTACGAATATTTTAGGGCATTGCTCCTGGGTAAGAAACATACCTAAATAACATATTTAAATTGTCCGGAAGTCCTTAGTTACTCACACAGCCGCCATTTTGTTTTTTTCAGTTATTAATTTTTTTCTAAAGAATGGTTAAACATACGAAATGGAAACTTTGCACAAACATTTATGACAACTATACAAAGCTACCAAAAAATTTTGAAGATTTTTCAAATTCATAAAACAAAATGGCGGCCGTTCAAAATTTTGTCTCTTAAATAACTTGAAAACCATTGATTTAAAAAAAATTTTAAACGGCCGCCATTTTGTTTTATGAATTTGTAAAATCTTCATAATTTTTTGTTAGCTTTGTCTAGTTGTCATAAATGTTTGTGCAAAGTTTCCATTTCGTATGTTTAACCATTCTTTCAAAAAAAATTAATAACTGAAAAAAACAAAATGGCGGCTGTGTGAATAACTAAGGACTTCCGGACAATTTAAATATGATATTTAGGTATGTTTCTTACCCAGGAGCAATGCCCTAAAATATTGGTAGAGAGTTCCGGAACACCCTGTATATGGAAGTGAGGGGAAAAGCTGCAATCCTTTCATCGTCGATACCATGTATGACTAACTGACCCTAACATTCTTCTATTTTGTTAAACTAGCTAACCTTCAGTCAAAAAAGTCACCATCGTTCATGGAGGGTTGTTGTCTGACAAAAAGGCTGAGGAGGTTTTTGGGGTGACATGATGGCGACCCTCTGAATCCAAATACAAAACAGGATATAATCATTAATCATATTGACTAAGAAAGAAGAAATTAGACCTATTATCCTGCTGTAAAGTCTAAAACGTCAAAACTTTGATGTGTTGTTTTATGTCCTATTTAGTTTCATTGCAGGTTTAAGAATAGTAGATATTTTAAGTGGTAAAACTTTTTTTTAATTTGAGTTGACATAACCTGATAAGGAAATGCACACCCCTAAGGCATAGTTTTTAGATTTTAGAAGCGTGCACATAATATCTTGGCTGATTAATTAGGCCAATGATTTATTAAAATTCATTGTTAGAGCCCCGAAACTGGGGAATACTGTATTGACTAATATACTTTTTATATGTCATATCTGTCACTATACTTCCAAATTGTAACCTTCAACATGCTACATTTTTCGGCAAGATACCATTTTCAAAGCCACAGTCCAGTTGCATGTGTGGCGTTTTAACAACCAACGAAACTATACAAGGGGATTTAATGTTTATTACTATATGAAACTATATGAAGACTAATGTATTAATTACGTTGTTGCTGTTGTTGTAATTATTTGTAGATTTGTAACACATCTTGCTTTGATTTTTATTCTTATTTCTTGGTAATGTTTCAATGTAATGGGTTTCCCTTTAAAAAAAAAACCAATTAATTAGTCAATGATTTCTCCTTGGCTCTTGGCTGTCTAATCTTATTAACATGTGACGTTGCCACGCGCTAAATTGGGACATATCATATTATTAAATCATTATCAATCAGGGGGCTCATTATGTTCTAAACATTACGTTAGTATAAATTAAAAATAAAACCATTGACTGAACTGTATAAGCACAACACATTATATTAAATACGTTTGTAAGGGGAAAATAATAAAATGGAGCTACATAGCATTAGGTCGGCCTGCGACTAAGTGCATTGGCACTAACGAACAATCCCAAAGAATTGTTCTAAAGAAGAAAAAAGTACTAATAATAATAAAATAATTCGTTCTGTCTACAAACTAACCTTCAATTTAGTAGTTGGCTAAGTCTATTTTAAATCACAGTAGTTGTAAGTTACTTTTTATTTTAACTGTGAAATGAGTTTACATTTTTACAGCTGCCTGTCATAAACTATTGTTAATTCATTAGAGAAGTGTAAAATTATTCAATTACTTTGGCTTTTGTAATCAATCTAGGACATCTCGGTTCTCTCGGCCCTCCTTCGGTGCCTTCATTGTCTTGGTTTGTAAAAGCTTCTTGAAGTATTATATTTATAATGGATCCATCAGAGTTTAGTGAACTATGTCGAATTTGTGGTTCAAAAACAAGTGTCTTGATGGGCTTGCACATTTTTGAAAGAGAAGGAGATATGAGGCAAATATACAAAAAAATAACTGAGTGTTTACCAATCAAGGTAAGGCAAACTAAGTTATGGCTAGCAAGCTAGACCTTTAGGCCAAAATGCTAATTTAACTTACCTATTCGTTGTTAGTTCTATTTTATTAACCCTCCGAGTGTCATGTGTTTTGGCCTTAATGTCAGCCTATTTTTTGCTCATTTGCAAGGTTTTATTAAAACTGATCTGAGAAGCTTAAAAACAATGTTAGTTATACTGTTCTATATACCATTTTGTTTGGAAAATCTTGGGCTTCAATATTATATATAAAACATAAGGAAGATTTAAAAAAAAAAATTTTTTTAGGTAAAAAAATGTATAATTTCGAAAATTAAAAAAAAAAAAATAAGTTTGCGCTCAATGAAATTGTATAAATTATAGGCCTATAAATATTTGAAAATAGCCACTTAGTTCTAAATTTTATGAGGATTACAAATCTATAATAATATAAGGAAGTAGATTTGCAAATAAAAAAGTTATGGGCAAAAAACAGATTTCAGTACATAGCGTTTAGCTAAGAATGCATAGCCCAACCATAGCTAGGAATCTGGCTGATAATTTACATCAATATCACTACCTACTTCTTCAGGATCATCAACCAGCACTTCAAAACCACTTAAATCTTCTTATAATGCACCACGTATATCACTACTTTTGATTTTTAACACTAAAACAATGATAAACGTAATAAAACACATCAGTCATCGGTCCGAGGGTAACCTAGCTGTTTACAAATACACGCACGTCAGCTCAGTCAGCTGTCTGCTACAATATTTTCGGAACTAAAATGAATAGTGCTTAGAGACAGACCTCTGCAGAAAGCTTACAATATTACGGACAGAACGATACCTAACTCAATCCAGTACAGTCCGATTCAGTTAGTCATAGAGCCTTCGCCGTAAACAGTGTTCGCGAGTCGCTGCAGCGACGCACGACACTATACAAAGTGCGTTACGCGTCGCTGCAGCGACGCATGACACTCGGAGGGTTAAATGTTAATGTTCTCATTTAAGTTAATCAAACCGAAGCAAGGACCTCAGGCATCAGCTCTATTTTGGATAGTCTTGACTAAGGTAGGCCTAACTTAAGTTAGTGACATCAATAACTTAATGGTATCTTTTGAAATCAAAATTTAGCAATGACTTAAAATGACTAAATAGCAAAATAACTTATGTTAGCCTACGTAACGTATAAGTTAGCCTACCCTAAGGGTACAGTTTCTTAACTGGGCTACGCTAATATCGATTGAAACTATCGATTTGATTAGTAAACCTTTATGCGAATTTTTTCGCCATCAGCAAGTTGGTTTGGTTGGTTAGGTTAGGTTATGATAGTTTAATTTTATAATAGATACGGTACCTATGTTTTAAAATATCAATTACAGCCCGCCCTCGCTAGTCTGACAGGTACTGGACTGACGTTGTGTCGGAATACCAAAAAGGTCGGATTATCGAAAATGGCTATTCTGTAATGCATTTGATTGTCAAAACGATATAGGTAACTAGCCTATCATTTTAAACAATGTAACTTATTAATCAACATTACATTCTTGAAGAATTAAAAACAGAATAAAAGAAACACAATTGCACTTACTACAAAGAAAATACCACTGCACCGGGAAAGTGTACTGCACGTCCCGAAAGTCAACTGAACACTGAACGGAAGTGCTCCGACGGCAACGAGACGTGAGTCACAGTGTTTCATGTCACTGCATGCTTGATTTTTTGCTCCCGTAGCGGCGCCTGACGGCACGTCGGATTACCAAGTACGTCGGATTTCAGAGCGTTGGACTAATGAGGGCAGGCTGTATTAATCAATATTTTCAATTTAGATGGTTTCAATCAATATTAGCGTAGCCCAGTTAAAAAACTGTACCCTCCTAATTACCCACTATTATTTTTGTAGGATTCAGGCTTAAATCCAATCAATTACTCCCTTATTGCTAATACAGCAGACTCTTGATAATTCGAAATTGGTGGGCCAAGCATATAAATTTGAATTATCAAGAGTTTTGAATTATCAAGAGTTCGATTTATCGGGAGAAACATAAACCATTCGAATTACAGAGAGTTCATTTGTTTAATACATACAAAGGTACAGCACGTTACAATAAAACATAATACCGTATTTTAGTACACTTTTAAACAACGGAACGGCTTATTTTTCAGTTAAGAAGTTTTTTGATTTCCAAATTCATAATTCAAGTAACATTAACAAAACCACATGGAGAATAATTAATAATGAAGTTTCAAACAAAAAAAACACTTACTCAGAGAATATTAGTCTTCGACTGAATGATGAACTAATTGAAAATCCTACTTATGTTGCAAACATGTTTAATAATTACTTTATAGATGTTGTAGATAGCTTTAGTGTTAGGCAACCTTTAGATAAAAAAAGAGGAACAACTAATCAAGTTAGCGATGTAAATAAAACAAAAGGGCTTTTTGAAAGTAGGATATTTAAGTGCACTCCTGTAGATGATAAGGAAATGGAAAGAATTGTTGGTTCACTTAAGAATAAAATGTCTAGTGGTTATGATGATATACCAACTAAATTATTAAAATATGTAGGGAACCTTTTAGTAAAGCCACTTGTACATTTGGTGAATTCCTCTTTTGTGTCTGGCTTATTTCCGCATCAACTAAAAATTGCAAAGGTAATTCCTTTACATAAAAAAAACGAAGTTACTGAAATATCTAACTATAGACCTGTTTCATTGCTCCCTGCTGTATCAAAGGTATACGAGAAAGCAATGTACATTAGATTGGTAGATTATCTTGAATCAAATAAGTTATTTGATAATTCTCAACATGGTTTCAGAAATGGAAGATCAGTAATAACAGCAGCTACTGACTTCATTGAGTCCATCGTAGAATCAATTGAAAACGGTGAAAATGTTCTAGGGATATACATGGATCTCTCTAAAGCATTTGATAGTGTTTGTCATTCAATTTTGCTAGAGAAACTGGAAAGTCTTGGAATAATGGGAGTCCCCTTAAAATGGTTTCAATCTTATTTGGATGGTCGGATGCAATTTGTTGAAATAAAATCAAACAAAAACAATTATTTAACTACATTTAACTCTCATAAACGTAGAATTAAGTGGGGGGTGCCACAGGGTTCAATTTTGGGACCAATTTTGTTTTTATGTTATATAAAAGAATTGCCTAAAAGTATTGTTAATCCTCAAAAGAGTAAGATTTGTTTATATGCAGATGATTCAAATTTAACAGTGGCGGGGAAAAGTAAAGAGGAGTTGGAAATTTCGGCCTTTGTAGAATTGTATAGTATACAACAATTTCTAAAAAATAATAATTTGAATCTTAATACAACAAAAACAAACTTTATGTCCTTTTCGACTAAACAAAGTAAACAGAAACTTGAACCCAATTTGATCATTGATTCAGAATCAATAGAACAACTTTCTGAAGCCAAACTTTTAGGTCTCTATGTAGATGAACATCTAAGTTGGAATAAACACGTTGAAAAATTGTTAAAAAAGCTTAATTCTGGAGTGTACGCATTGAAAAGAATGTCTTATTTGTGCAATTTAGATGCACTTAAAAAAATATATTTCGCCCATATTCATTCTCACATAAACTATGGCATTGGACTATATGGGGCAACTACGATTAAAAATTTAAATAAAATTCTAATCATGCAGGAAAAAGCCATTAGAACTATGTTACACCTTAAAAAAGATGAATCAGTTAAATCTCACTTTAAAAATCTAAATATTTTAACAGTTTTTGCAGCGTATACTTTTGAAATAGCATGTATAGCTAAAAGAGACAGCCTAAAATATGAGCCAGTTGTGCCACATAGTTACAATACAAGACATAAAAAGAATATTGTAACTTCAACCTATAAGCTGGAATTCTCAAAGAAAAAACCAACTTTTGCTGGATCACTAATTCTAAGGAAATTGCCTGCCTCTATAAAGGAGGAATCAAATTATAAATTATTTAAATCTAAATTAAAAAAACATTTAATAGAAAAGGCGCCTTATACAATGGAGGAACTCATTGAATAAATACCTATTCATACTTAAAATGTATTTATATCTTTAAGCTAGTTTAGTACTTTATACTTGACACTATTTTTGTACCCATGTACATGTAAGGAAAATAAAGATGTTTTGATTTGATTTGATTTGATTTGAGGCCTACTGTAGTTGCAAAGAAATCTATTATTTAGCACTATATACAGAGTGTCACAAAAAAGTGTGATGGGCTATACAGGACCTAATTCTACATGCAAAAATAAGTAAAAAATGAAGAATACAATTTTTTGGATTTCGGCTTAGTTTAGCCGTAATCCGCCATTTTGTTTTTTGGGGAAAATATTTATTGTTTCAAAATCCCTTTGAGATATTTTTACGAAACTTGGCAAAATTGTTTATACTATAGTAAGTAACATTCATAAAAACAATTATTATTTTAACTTTCCAAATTTCAAAATGGCGGCCGTTTGAATTTTGTAATGCCAAATTTCATGAAAACCGGTACCTAAATCAAAATTTTGTAAGACACAAAAGTTTTAGTATTTATTATGACAAATCCAACAAAACAAAAATGAATAAAATCGGTTCATAAATAAAGAAGCTGTGTTTATTTTAGTAATTTAGACTGAAATTACTTAATACGTTACATAAACTATTACATTACATTTAATAGGTACATTTTAATATTAATAATTTCAGTCTAAATTACTAAAATAAACACAGCTTCTTTATTTATGAACCGATTTTATTCATTTTTGTTTTGTTGGATTTGTCATAATAAATACTAAAACTTTTGTGCCTTACAAAATTTTGATTTAGGTACCAGTTTTCACGAAATTTGGCATTAAAAAATTCAAACGGCCGCCATTTTGAAATTTGGAAAGTTAAAACAATAATTTTTTTTATAAATTTTACTTACTTTAGTGTTAACAATTTTGCCAAGTTTCGTAAAAATATCTCAAAGGGATTTTGAAATAATAAATATTTTCCCCCAAAAACAAAATGGCGGATTACGGCTAAACTAAGCCGAAATCCAAAAAATTGTATTCTTCATTTTTTACTTATTTTTGCATGTAGAATTAGGTCCTGTATAGCCCATCACACTTTTTTGTGACACCCTGTATTTCGCCAATAGCTGAACTATCTATCAGCTGTCGACAACTACGTTTGTGCTCAAGGAGATGTCGCACAATCTAGAGATCGGATTGCCAACTTAGAAAAACAAGTTGTCAGCGAACTAACTCAAACTACTGCTCTAACTAAACAAACATCAAAACGTCCAACACTAGCCTACCAAGGGAACAGGATGTACTGTACTGTATAGTTTCCTGTTATAACAGGAAGAGATCACTTCAAATTTTAGAGTGTTTTGCCAACTAAACTTCGAATTACTGCGTGACTTTGATTTATAGAGTGTTTTTTCGACGAAACTTCGAATTACAGCATGACTTCGAATTATAGAGTGTTAACCGACGACACTTCGAATTACTGAGTTACTTCGAATTATAGAGTGTTTTTCCGACAAAACTTCGAATTACTGCGTGTTACAAATTGACCTGCCCTCTATTTGGACTTTGAAATACCGAGTGTATCAAAATGCATGGTAAAAATTTGAAATATTGAGAGATTCTCTAGGGACTGAGCCTTCATTTTGAATTATCAAAAGTTTTGAATTATCAAGTGTTTGAATTACCAAGAGGGGACTGTATCAATATAAATGAAGAAAATTGATTATAGGCTAGCAAAACCAATTGAGTCGTATATCAAAGTTCTGCTTAACCCTCGAGCGGGTGCTTTTGGAGGTTTCCTCCGCACTTTTAGTTTTGTTAAAATAATTATGCATAAGTAATGGGTATCGTGTCTGGCTCCATACTTTATGCACCTCATCCCAGGAATGCCCCTAAGCTATTTATTTTAACACACAAATTCCTCCTTATTTTGTTGTCAGTATCAATTCAGTGACGTGGTGTCAGTTTGCGGAGGTTTTCTCTGCGTGCGCCCTGTCGTGTAGCCTAAGTCCTTAGCGTGGAGTTTATTTCCTTATGCGCTCTTCTGTGTTAGAGGTGACTGTTTTAGTTGTGTCTGTTAACTTAGTGAAGTAGGCTATAACTATTTGGAGTTCCCGTTTTATATTAGACTGATGCCACTATTGATTTTTTTAGAAAATGATAAATTACGAGGATTGCTTGATTGTGTCAAAAGGGAAGAAAGAATAGAATAAATACAACCAAAACAAGATTTTGATTAGGGTATTAGGCCTACTCATTGTTACTTTAATATATTAGTATGTACCGTATTTTTTTTTGTTTATGTAGCCTATAGTATTGTTTTGTGTAGGCCCTATACATAACCAAACTTCTCGATTGATATTTTACTATTTATTTGTTTACCGTATAGCCTATATTGTTATATTGTTTATATTGTTTATATTTACTTGTAACATTTGTCAAACTGTGTGTATATTTTATACATACAAAAATATAAACATGTTTAAATGTAATTATATAGACATGTTTATTTATAATTACTATCAAATATATTTTGTTTGCCTCCCTATGTATAATTGCATTATTGTGGGGTAAAACTCCGCACGCCCTATCTCGTAACACCGACAGTGATACCTTTATACTAGAAAATTGCTCAATATGTTTATTTTAAATATTACTCATAAGTAGAACAAATAATGTTATTAACAATGAAATTAGGTTCCTGATTAGGTTAGTCAACATTTAACTTACATACAATATTGCGTTATAAAAACAAGTAAAATGGGTAAAATTTTTGCTATTTAGTGTTGCGGAATAAAACTGTGCATGCGCCCCCTCCTGTTTTACTGGTGAAGCGCCTGCACGAGGGTTAAATTCTTGCATTAGGACTACAGCCGTCATCTGTCACAATTATTTTGTAAAATGTTGATTGCTGTTTAAATAAATAAATAGGCTAGGGCCTATGTAACTTAGGTGAGTTTTAATGGTTAACTTTTACTTTAGACCATTGAAATTGCCCGTTTAACACTTTATTGTTTCATTAGGTTAAATAAAAAATTAAAATGGAATCATTCATACTGTAAATTAAGAATTCTCAATCTTTGTTACCTATAGATATAACATACTTGGTGACATTTTGTTTAATATAATTTGACAATGCCTATTCCTAAGTACAACTTGGTCAATGGCAATAAAATTTCTTATTCTTATTCTTATTGAACATTTTGCAGAACTTTGGGGTACAGTTCTACAGAGAACCTACAATATGGTATCGGATGAAATCTTAAATAACTTACGATAGGCTATGGTACTCTACCTAAGTTAGCCTGTAGGCCCTAAGTTAACTTATTGTAAGTTACGAGAAATGTATTGGATAACTTATCATGTTCACAGCTGATATAAGTTAGCCTGAGGATATCAATTGTACGTAGGCCTGTTAAATATGAACATTTTAATCCAAAGGGTATTTTTCGGAAGAATCTTTTACACTGTTCTGCTGCAGTTAGGTTAAGTTAGTTTATTTCAGTCTGGCTTTAACTTATACTTATTTTAGTTTAGGATGATAACAAACAAGGTAACAATTGAAAGCATTATGTTATGGTTACCGGTACCATATAGAAATTTGAGTGGTCATAGATAGTTCTACCTAATATACCTACAATTGAAAATAAGTCAGGCTTACCAATTTAAGTTAGTTTTGGTTGGATATTTTTTGTGAATATGATGGAGTAAGATATCAAAGTTTCACAGCTAATTCAAACAAATTTACCATCAGAGTGCTTTTAGATTAATTTGCAACTTAAGTTATAACGAATTAGGCTAAGATTGCTTATTTCTTTTAATGCATAGTTCAAATTTTCACTTAGGCTAAGTTGTATTTACTGGATTTAATTCGCTGAAATTACTAATTAAGTTATAATGTACAGCCGTGGGCTAGGTTTACAGTAATTTTTAGTCATGAGTCTTAAAAATTAGCAACCAAAAGAAATAGAACTACCGGTACTTTAACCTAAGTTAAAAAATGTAACAACTTACTTTTCTGATAATCAAGCTTTTTAAAATATATTTGGTATTCTTATTCTGTTTCAGGTATATACAACTGACAAATTGCCTAAAATGGTATGTGAGGAGTGTGTGTACAAGTTAGATCTGTTGTACGAATTCAGGGACAAAAGTATCAAAACTGAAAGTGAGCTTAATAATATCCTGAAAGAGTTGGAGTCCTATGTCCCTTTGGTAGAGCCAATGCCTATGTCTGTTCCCTTACAGGTAGGTTTTAACATTAAAGTTAAAAAATTTTGAATGATTTTGGTAATTTTTTTCATTTAACTTAGTTGTACACACAGTATTTGTTATGATAATAGTGTTATACCTTTTTGTCGGAATATCTCTAAGTAACTTAATTTAGATAGGTCAAAGTAATCGTAGGTTGATCTGTAGTAATCTGTAGGTTACTGTAGGTTGATTCCTGGAAATCTTGTCTTATAAAAAATGTTTAGGTCATCATATCACCAGTAGGCTAGTCAACCAGAATTCATTGGATGTTTTTTTATGGCAGTTAATCAATTTTATGTAGCCTACTAACTTTTTGTATCGGTGTTTAAGCACGGGTCACATTAGGCTGCTCGCCAGCCGCTGGTGATCAGCGTCCGTGGGACCTCGTTAACGAATACTCAAGTAATTTTTGAGGATGTGTTATAGAAAGAACAGCTGTGAGGTTTTGCAACAACTCACTGTAAGTTGCTTCTTTGGTGTTCCCAAAACTGACGTTCCTACTTCTTGAAAAACGTCCCACAAGCACGCATAGTTTTTGGAATAAATTTTAGAAATTGATGACTTGCTTCCACAACCACTTAAGAAGGAGTCATTTCAGCACTTAAGCTCAGTCATTTCTACTCTACAAATTACTACTTTTAAACTTCTAGTTTAAAGCTCAGTTCTTGTCGCCATTTCATGCTTGGGTCCTCAAAAACCAGCAATTAGGTAGCTTAATAGCTGACAGTGGACCACATGACCAGCACCTGCATTTTTATAAACCTGTAACTGTAGGTAGGCCTATAGTCAATGGTAAAACCAAGTTGAAAATCATCTTTGGTCGCCGCAGGCACGCTTCTAGAGGTGGTCAGACTACGCTGCTTGCTGGCGTCAGCGAGTACGAGTGGTCTTGTGACATCTAGTCGCCACTGCCTCGCTACCAAAAGTTGAACATGTCCAAATAATCGCTGACAAATAATCGCCACCTGGCGGTGCCAGCTGCGAATTTTGTAGTCACATTAAGCTGACAGTAGCGGCTTTTTTTCAATTTGCCGCTGATGCCAGCCTAGTGTGACCAGTGCTTTAGTGCTGGGTCGGTTCCAGAATTTTTTATTCTGCTTGCCAATTTGATTTTTAGAAATATGATTCCATCAATTCCACTCATCGGTACTGTACGTAAAACTAAAAAAAAAATGGTATAGGTATTCAGAATTATTGAGAGTAAATTTTGTAGGTATCAGTATCTATATTTGGATGTGTTGGTTTTGGTATTTTTTTTTTTTTTTTTTTTTTTTTTGTCCTAAGGACGCTAGGCACGAGCCTGGGATTGTTTTTCACATTACTTCAGGCTAGACCTAGGGGTTGCGGCATTATCACTTGGATAAAATCCATTGGTGACTTGGCGGGGATCGAACCCGGGACCTCAGGGACTCAAGTCCCGCGCTCTAACCACTACGCCAGCTCGCTCCCCATGGGTTTTGGTATAGCCACATCACAAGTAATAAATATTAGTTTTGGCGGCAAAATCCTAAATATCGCTCAACTGTAAAAGAAACACTGTTATCCTCTCTCATGATCACAAAAACGTTATCAACGTCTTCTGCGATCACAATAAAATATTAACTATCTCCCTCGGTCATGTAGACCTAGATATTGTCGTTATCTTCCGCTATTGCGGCAAAATTCTTATCATCTACCACAGTCGAGTCTGACATTATCGTATCCTGCGGCTCTTTAGACATCATCACAGTCATCCGCCATGGTGGCAAAATCAAGAACATCTCTCAAGGTCATGTGAACATAATCATCTGAGCCCCACGATGGTGGCAAAATTTTGATCATTTCCCGCGATTGTGTAGACATTTTCCAATATTGCGGCAAAAGCATAAACATCACCTTCGGCCATGTAGACATCATCATTGTCTCCCGCCATTGCCATTGTCTCATCATTGCCTGGAGAAAGATTACACTGCGACCTGTAAGATCTATTGTGTCCCCCAAACTAGTCTCCATCATCATCATTATCTCCTGCGGCCACGAAAATGTCATCATCGTCTTGTGCAATCAAAGCAATAGCGGGAAGTAATTTTCCGATGGTGTGAAATTAATTCTTGTCTTTCCCTTAACTGTCATTAATTATCAGTAAATAGAAATTAGTGGTACAAATGTATGATGAAGAGTCAAGAATGCAGGTATCTGAATGGCTATAACATCTAGTAACCAGAAGGTCGCCAACTAGGTCCTGAGAAAAGTCAGTTAGTTTTGCCCAGCATTTAATCAACCTAAACCATAACATGAGTGAGATTGCTGACGGTCTTGAGGTGCTACATAAATGCAGAAAAGGTAGTAAACTAAACACGTGAGAGGAATTTGAAATTTACAAATTATACCACGATAACACCGCCAGTGGACATATCCTCAACGAAAAACTGCAGTTCCAGTCACACTCTATTTTCAATGTGCTAATTCACCAAAATAACTGGCCACCTGACCTTTGTCCTACTGAGGAGTCTGACACTGCAGTCTACTACCTGCGCCGGGACCGTCCGTGTCGTGTGCGTGTGATAGGCCTATCAATGTCAATTAAATGTTTACTTTCCGTAATTAAATGTTTGTATTCGTGTATTTATTGTGTGCGTGTGACATCGATGTCTCCGTTTTTATAACCCTGACGATGCCGTATTTACGGCGAAACATGTAGGTTGTTACCCTCTATCAACATTTGGATTAAACTTGACAAGGTATTGTGCCATTATTATAGTTATTTCTACCAGTAAACTTGATTGATGGTTGCAGGTAAATGGACCTATAACAGATGCTGTGCTCGTTCAATGTGTCAATCCACCGTTAGAACTACCAACTCACGAGACTTCCATCATTCAATCCATTAATAAGAAAAACTCGGAAAATCTTAAATGTGAACCTGACGTTTTTATCAAAATTGAGAATGCGATGGGAGCGAAGCGCAATAGGGTGGTCAATACAAACCCACCCCCTGAGAGTGAAACTGAGTCTGATGATTCTGATAGTGCTACCGAGAGTGACGACTCGTCACTGCCGGATGCTGACATGAATGACAGTACTAACATTGTGGATGACAATGTGTCCAACGGTCTGCACACGGATAACAGGTTGGTTGGTATTCTAACCAGAGAGCTTTAACACTAATTAACTGTCACAAACGTTTTATGCATGTCAGATACCCTTTTAAAATGTAAAAACTTGAGTAGGAAACTATTGTAAGCCCACTCAACACCTGACTGGTTTCCACTGTGGCACAGCATCACCAGAAGGCTTATGCAGAAGGGAAAAGTTCAATCCAGCTGATTATCATGCCACAACATTCTTTCTTTAGTTAAATACAATTCTAACCCTTTTATACAAGAATAATAGAAAATGTTTGTATAGGCCTTACAACTGATCCAATGTACTATTTATATTACTGATACTGATATTGCCTGGAGAAAGATTACACTGTGACCTGTAAGATCTATTGTGTCCCCCAAACTAGTCTCCAGTCTTTGCCTAGAGAACCCCCTCCAATCCAAACTCCTCAATGAAGTTAAGTGACAGGTGGGGTTTTAACTGTGGAAAATCTCAAACTGCTACCTGGTGCATGCACAAACTCTTGGCTCTCTTTCGCCCAACCGCATCACATTCAGCCAATAGATGTCTGGGTGTTTCTTCCCCTGATTGGCAGAATTGGCAGTCACTTTCCTGAACGATGTTCATTTTTCTCAGATGACTTCTAAGCCTAGAATGTCCAGTTAGAAAACCTGTTAACATTCTCAAACAGTTCTTAGTCAGCCTAGTCATAGTCTCAGACCTTCTTGCGTCGTGGCTTGCTGACATCCTGGATGAGCAGTCAGCCTTTAGCTCTGGTAACATTTTCGTCTTTCCTGAGCTTCTTTTGAAGAACGGGTCTTGGAGTGCACACCCTGGTTCTGGCCCTATGAGGGTGTTAGCTGCCTCTGCCCTCCCCTGATGTTTAGGTACCCAAAGGAGTGATAACTTGTTGTTCTTACCCAACAGGTTCAGACTTTGCTGGCAATTCCATACCATCTTTGAGCTGATAACTGACGAGGGGGACAGCCTGGCTATCTGACAGGATAACAATTTCCCTTTTCTTGTATCCTCTGCTAAGGTTAACTATTTATACTAAATGTGTACAATTGGACCCAGATATTAGAGTAACAGTACGGAAATAGCTTTATTACTATGTACTATTAATGTGTACACTAGAATAAATTTAATATTGTACTTCAGGTACTATTTATTATTTTTGAGTCAGCTTGAGCAGTGCTCTGTAAGCAGAAAAACCTATATTTATACGATTTCTAAAGCAAAAGAGTTCTTCCTAAAGATCTATATTTGTAAGTTCTTGTTTTGTTTTCAGTGCGATGCTCAAAAATATGCTTACAAATGATAAACTTCCCCAAATAACTGAAAGTGGAGACTACTTGATGCCAACTGATCATCAACAACCCTCATGGTTTTTCTGTAACATTTGTGGTAAAGCTTTCTCAAAACAAGAAGAGTTCCAAACTCATTACGAGTATCACTGGAACAAATGTCAAACATGTGGTTTAGTGTTTGCTAGTGAAGAAGATCTTCTCAACCACAAGAAAGATAGACATTCAAAGAAGAGCAAAACAGACACAAGAGCGGCAGGGGACAAGAATGATGAGGAGGATGAAAAAGATAAAGCGAAAAAGAAAAATGATAATAAAAAGGAAACAAAACCAGGAGAAATGAAGGTGTGCACAACTTGTGGAAAAGAGTATCGAACAAACTATAAGCTAGCGGAACACATGAGGAAGCACACTGGAGAGAAACCCTTCAAATGTTCTTCTTGCGATAAAGCATTCCGCTCGAAAATCGGCTTAGCTCAGCATGAAGCTAAGCACACAGGACACTACGATTACACATGTAATTCTTGTGGGAAAGGCTTTCAGTGTAAGTCATATCTGATCGTACATCAGAGAGTACACAGTGACCTAAAGCCGTATCCTTGTACTACGTGCGGACGGAATTTCAAAACCAAACAGAGTCTTCTGGACCATCAAAACAGGCATTTGGGAGTAAAACCGTACATATGTGAAACTTGTGGACGAGGATTTATAACTAAAGGTCTGTGCAAATCACATCAGCGAGTCCACTCCGGGACCGACAATCGTCAGTATCCGTGCACTGTGTGTCATAAACTGTTTGTCAGCAAGTCTTATTTGGTAACTCACCTTCGTATCCACACTGGGGAGAAACCGTTTATGTGTGAAGTTTGCGGCAAAGGGTTCCTCACAAGGGTGGACCTGAAGATTCATTCGACAATGCACACCGGTGAGAAGAGCTTCGTGTGTGAAGTCTGTGGGAAAGCGTTTGCTCGCAGAGATGCTTTGCGATGTCATCGCCGCAGCCACACTGGTGAGAGGCCTTATCGTTGTGACATTTGCGGCCAAAGCTTCACACAGTTTTCCCCAATGGCAATTCACAAACGGTAAGTATTTCATGTCTATCTTTTCAGGCCTATCGAGTTAAACATTGATTAATGAGATTTTGTAGCATGCAAAAAAATATTATGTTGTTTAATGCTATAAATCTGTGCAATCTAGTCTCCCTATATTTAGATAAGAATTTATCTAAAAAAAACACCATGAAACTATAGAAAGTGTTTGAATAAAACTAAGTAAGGAATCTTTAGCTGTACGTATGTGTTACACTATGCTACAATTAGCCTTCTGGAAACGAACGAAAATTGTACTGCACTAAACTTAATGTATATAAAAATGTCTTGAATATAATTTTTTCATGATAAATGGAAATAAATTTGCATTCACATTAAAGTAATTAATAATGAGCCTTTTGAACATTTGTGAGAATATTAAAACTGCTCCTGAGCCCTAAGGCAAACCTTTATGTCACCCAAAGGATCTAAACTTTTCTCAAACAACATCGTATTTATAATCTTTTGTCAAAATCATCAAGAACTATTGAAGTGACTTGTGCTCGGGAAATGACTTAAACTAGAGAAATGATGGTTAAACTATTCAATAATCAATGTTTATGACCACCCCATAACAGTTTCTTGAGTATTAAATAATTAATCAAACTTTAATCTCATAGTAATTAAATTGGTTGGTTCAGCATATTGAAACTTCTCTTAGTAATGAAGTCTAAAATAATTAGAACGTTAACAATAAATTTCATGTTTCGACTCTGTTTGCAGGCTGCACACTGGTGAGCGGCCGTATTCTTGTGATGTCTGTGGCAAGTGTTTCGTCTCCAAATCTACAATGATGTCCCATCGCAAGAAACACACCACTTGATCTTCTCTTCCATTTGGATCCACCAGTGTTCTGACCATGCCCTCAGTCAGTGAGTATACAGTTGACCGCTTTTAAATTATATGTTTGTATGTGAAGTTTTTGTTGAAATAAGTTACCGGGGTTTGCTAGAGTGTAAGTTAGCCTACTCTTAGGTTACTTAAATTTTGGCACCATTTGTAAAGCGGCGTTCTAAAATGTTTGTTTTCATCAGCCCATTGACAAAATTTTTTTTATTTATTTCTCTTTTATTAATACAATTGTTTTAGGTTATGTCCTTTAATGTATTTTATCATATCTATATTTCAACTTGATATGTCCATTTTTATAGAAAAAAAATAAAATAAAAATCTGTATCCTCCTCCTCTACACCAATGTAAGAAGGAGCAAAACAGGTCTTGTGTGCAATCCCTACTAAACTCACTAATGCCGTCAACTTCCACCTAAGCTGGACTAATTTATTTAAGGTGGTCACTCCACTCCAGCTATTCCACACATTTTAAAAGCTCAATATGGATTGCACATATATGGGACTCAAACCCGGGCATGTGGAAAGACCTCAACTCCACACGGGTCAGTACAACGCCTTCAGCCGAACTACAACACTAGCGCTCGTAGGTTAGATTTGACGTACTAATGGAGGGCTGGTTCGTTAGCAGTACGACTGGGTTGATGGTCTACACTTGTAAGTCATTGTCAATGGGTTGGTCAGCAATGAATCAATCAATCAATATCAATCAATTATATCAATTCTTTAAGATGGGGACGCCACTATACAGCACCATACAGCCAATGGCTACTAAGGAACCTACAGTTTATAGTGGAATCTGAACCAATTTTTTTCTTGTAATTAACGAATTGGTCTAATTATCAGGACAGTAGGGGCCTACTGCGAATAGTCGTAGTATTCACTAGTGCGGACTATCATAGTAAAGCCTCTAAGGCTTTAAATCACTTTGCACGTTGTTGTTTTATTATAACACCCTATTATTTTTAAATATCATAATTTAATATGAATGCTTTGTTTATAATTTAAAATTTTCAATACCTGTATTTGACACTATTTATGTATGTATTATATGCTACTAACAAATAAAGATTATTTGAATTTGAAGTAGACATTCCAATAGCTGTATATGGATCAGCTCTAATTTTAAATCGGGATGTCTACTTCTGTTCAAAGATTATCATACACAGCGTGAACTTAAGGTTGAAGACCATTATTTAATCATCGGAACTTTCAACTGGTCAACAGAACTTGCTTTGGCTACTCAGAAAGTAAGGAAAGTTTTGAAACAAAATTAAAAGTGTTTGAAGAAAAACAACTGTTGTATCCATTTGAAAGAGCAACTAAAATACTGCTTTTAAAAAGATTGGGGCACTTATCATTGTGGTGGCCAAGCTTTGAGATTACTTTGTCGTAGAATTCCTCCGCCTGGGATCTTCGTCACTCGGTGACAAGAAATTGGAACTTTTCATCGTCACCAAAGTGCTGGACTGCTAATTAATTCTTGATTTTGGAAACAATTGAAAGCCAGGTCAGGACGTTCGGATGGTTTAGAGAAAATCTCCCAAGCGAAATGAGATGTAGTGTGTGATATGCTATGTGAGGTCGGACATTACCATGCAAAAATTTGTTTAGGTTTTGTTAACTGTTTTAAGTAGCCAACAACTGTATTACAGAACACACCTCTCAACTAGTGTGATTATTGATTGCTACACACTTTTTTCTACTTGAATATTACAGCAGTGTCCTCTTGTATATTAAGATGAATTATGACAATTTTCATTTCTTTATTGACTTAACTGTTTCCAGGCACTGGAAGAGAGCTGCGTGTAAGTGACAATTTTAACTCAGTGATTCTTCGAGTGAGTCAAACCCAGTCTTCATCCGTCCTTTCCCATCAACCGGAATGAGCATCTCAATGTACATTTAGTTATATGCTGCATTTTCTCATAATCTCTATCAGCAATTCACAGGTTGTCTTGAAGCTTTAATGCATGTTAAAATATAATATTTTGGTGCTATAGAAAGGCATTGTCTTAGCTGATAGTTTTAATCAGTATAGGTTATTTCAGATGTTGTATTTTTGATTAGTGTTTTTGTGTGAAGTCTCCTTATTTATATACCGGTAGCTATTTACTTTTAGCGAATTTCCCATATAGGGAATTTTTATCCATTTCTTAGTGATTGTTTTAACTTATACAAAATTGAAGCTAAAAAGCACACTTTAAAAAGTGAATGCTTTCAATCCAATAAGGAATTGTTTTTCTTTTGCTGCACTCGAGATCATTCCACACTCGCCTGCGGCTTGTGCGTAAATATTGCTCTCGTTTGCAGCAAAGTGCCACTTTGCTCACTAGTTACACAAATAACTATAATTTATTGAAATCGGCTATTTTACTGATAAACAATGTGAACACTGAACAGGAATATGCATCAGCTAGTTTTGCTGCGTTTTAGCTTGTAGTGTGTGTTTACGGCTGAATGAACATAACCTTAACATTTACTTCTAAACCTTACCTTTTCCCTTATTTTTTTATTAAGACATTGTTTTTTAGGAAACATAATAGTTTTAATTTTACTGAGATCTGTTATTCTGTATATGAGTATTTTTGCGTCGTGATAAAAAGTATTGTTCATAACTTGTACATGTACTTGTACTTTTTGTAGTATCATGTACCGAAAGTGATTTTCTGGTACACTTGCACCAATTATTCCCGTCCTCGGCTTTGCATCTTACTTGAAAATAACTATAACTATAACTGATAACTCTCACTTGCTCGGCATTGTCTCAAACTTGAAATTTCGTCCTTTTTTGTATGGCTTTGCTTCAGAAATGAAACTTGAGCACACACCAGAAAATGTCACTTTCGGTACTAGTAGTGAAATATAGGCCCTACTATCAGTAAAGATTCTTATATTGTAAATGTTAACATATAATTTTATTATTTTCTCCCTAAGGTCCCATAGTTACAAACACTTTGAGTATAATAATTTATGCTGCAAAACTATGTTCAGTTGAAATGATATTACTGTTTAGTGCAAGGTCTGATCACCCTAAATACCATATTTTTCAGTTGGTAACAATCTTGCTTGATGAATAAGCAACTTGGATTAGAGACCTAGATTTGGCTTTATAATGACAGGACTGATATTTCTTCTCGCCATTTTATTGGATTTTAGGTTATTGACACAGGCAACATGGTATAATATTTTTCTATTTATTTTATTAAAATGTTATGTTATCAATCTATACTGAATAACAATATAATTGTGAAAATGTAATGAAGTTGTGTCTGATAAGATTATTGCATATATTATTTATTTAGCTTTAATATTTTTATGTTTTAGATGAATTTAGAGTATAATGCTTTGAGTATTGTGTTATAATGAATTTATTTGCATGGCCAGTTATCTGTAGTTATTGTCTTTTAACATAATATTTGTTGTATGCTCTCTTTTACATTGTGGTTGATGAAACATTATGGTTTCTGTACATAAAACAAACCTAGTTAGAACTGAATCATAATAAATCAATATCTGTATGATTATCTATGTATATCATAGTTTAAGTGCCAAATGCAATTGCATCACAATTTGTAACGTTAGTTTTTTAATTAAACTAAATTCAAAGTATAACAATTATTTTATTTCTGAATTAGGCCTATAGTCGTATGTTTTTTTAAGAGAACTCTGTTTTCAGTGGGGTAAAACCAGTGCCAGATTTACCACTAAGCAGAAGAAGGCCGCAGAAATTTTGTACAATATCACTTTGGAACCAAACTTGATTTTTTTTTCTAAAATTAACAATTTGTCACAATCACAGATATGACGATGATGTCCCCGTGATGGTAGGAGATGTTCACGATCGCATGGGATGATAACAATGTCCTGGTAATATCTACGCCATAACCAACCAGACTAACTGTCTGATAGTATTGGTATCTTCCCTTGTGGGGAGCAGAGCTGGACTACTAGACTAGTAGAGCGCAGAACTTCATAGCCCAAGGTCTCAGGTTCAAATCCCTCCAATCCCCAATGGATTTTATCTATGTGATAATGCCGCAACTTTTTAGGATTATCCTGAAGTAATGTGTAACACATTACTTCAGGATAATAAAAGTAGGACATAGAAAAGGATTTTGGTACAACCTACTCGGAAATGATAATGATTAATGAATAACCTAATCAACACTAACAATCTACTCTAGCTGATTAAACAGAAATTCTTACAATACTTTTTAAATTAACACGTTCGCTGCGAGGAGAATCCCTTTGGCGGGACGGTCGGAAATGCGACGCAGCTTCGGCGCGCCAGTGAATCAGCGAACGCAATAGGCATTAAAATATGCCTAATATATATATATATGTTAATATATATGTTGTCTTGACAGCGGCAAAACAACAGTGGTAATGGTGCTGTGTTAACCCGAGAATGGACGTAGTTCACTGAAAAACTCACAGATAGCAGCACTGCCTGGATCCGTAGCCAATGTCTTTGCAATGTGGCTCGAAGAGAGAAAATCCCTGAAAACGAGACAAAAAGCGTTGCCAGACGGGATTATACGGAAAAATTTTATTACCAACCTAAACCCAACCTACACCTAATTAAAGTATAGAACCAGCAAAACATTCTGACATAGTTTAGTTGATACCTGATAAATGCGACGGTCAGAGTAGACCAACTTGTATAACACTGCACCGTGACTCCGACTAGAGTCCTACGCACGCTCTGCCAGTATGGCATGACTCTGATCGGAGTCATCAGCAGCGAACGTGTTAATATAGTAGCCTACACTATCTTAGCTAACTATTGAAAACTGTTTTAGAGTGCTGAGATATTATCTAGATATCACTGGGTCTATCAGGATCTAGATAGTACCAAGTCAGTATTATAGCATCTCTGATGTAGGCCTACAATTAAATCGCTGTACTTGAGTCGTACACTAGTCTGGGCCATCCAGTCATCTGGCACTCAGAGATTTGAATTATTAGTGTTTGAACACATTATTTATAGATATTTTTATTCTATTTAGCAATTTCTATGTTATTCTGTGTTGTCCTGTACAAGTGTTACTTTTCAGCGAAGTTGGGTAGTTTGCAAAATGTTCTGTCACGATAAGAGGCTTGATTTTTTAGCTGAGTCAATTTTTTGATATTATTGAAATCACAGGGAGCATCTATGGATTCACAATCCCTGCGATCTCAGGAAATCTTTTTGGTTTCACCGTGATAGCTACATTCAAAATGTTTACGATTTTCTCTATTCTCTTATTGCTATCCTTTTGGCTAGTGCGACACTACCTATTTACCAAGATATATGGGGCCTAATTGGTCAAAGTAGTGATTACAGGTAGATAATCGTTGTTGAATTGCCGAAATACTGACCAACTTTATGGATGCTATCGATCTTTTGGGCAAGCTACAATTACCTCTCCTCTCCTAAAGATCAAGATAAAATATCTGAAATGTTAACTGTGTTTCCTGTTCAGAGACACTTTAAGATTTTGATTTTGTATTAAAACATTGCCATTTTGAAACGTTTTTGACAAACAGTTCAAACAGCCTAAGTTGAAGTCTACACTGGAAAGAAAGATGGGGATGGTTTATACAGAAAATTCAACGGTTTTGTTTTAATAACAACTTTATTGACTATCAAAAATCTACTTATTCTAAAGATCCCAGATTATACCCGGTCTATTAACTTGAACCGATTGTGCTGTTCTTCTGTGATTACATTAAAGTATTTTTTCATCAAATTTGTAAGATCTGGTCTTCCCCCGTATTCTTTCTGGACCCATCGACGATTCATATTTAAATCAGGGCGTTCACATGACACCCTGACCACACCTGGTCTAAGTGCATACAACGTTCCATTCCTTCCCATACCAACCTACAACATAACAGTACCTTGGTTAGATAGTGGCATGTAGAACACATAAATGGTAATAATGAAAACAAATGTATCTTACTGGACGAATGGTAAGTTACTTATTTACTTTTGAAGTTTTTATTTTTAATCACAAATAGAGTAAAACAATTAAATTACTAAGAAGGTAGGCCTATAATAGATTTAAAAACTAATTTTACTGCAATATTGACTAGACTTTAAATAGAATGCATATCATCATTAGTTCCAAAAGTAACAAGCATGGTATTCCTTTTTGGCAGACTAGAGTGTTTGGCACGAATGGCAACACCTCACATACTGTACGGTAGGGTTTTTGTAACAGTTGACTGATTGGGGTTGTAAGGGTCGGATTTAGTTTTATACAAAGCCACTAAATCCGACCCGTACAACATGCTCAATGAAAAACTTAATTATGGTTCAAACAAATTATTCAACACAGTCTTGGATCACTTTGGTAACAATTATGTTGGCAACATGAGTCCTGGAGGCACAGCTGATAAACGGAATGGAGTGGGGTAAACAGTCATCGCCGTCGACCAGTTCAGTGACGTGTGCCGGCCGGCCAATTATGTTAAATGTCTACCGTGTTCGTGTTATGTTTGTTTGTGTGTTCGATGTATTTAAGATTTGACGACATTCAATGAATGTAATATTTTAACGTTCCGTTTTTGATAATGACTACGTAGTAGTCGAAACTAGTCAACGGATACCGACTAAGGAATTGTGGACGTCAAGGTACGTAACCTGTTATAATTGATTACCAATTCCGGGAGGCTTCAACATGAATAAATTGGAATTTCAGCGTAACATACACACTACCAACAATGAATAGGTATGCCTACGGTACTCACATTTAATCCTGGGTGGAACATAAAGTAGTTTTGAATAACAAGTAAAGTTCCCTTTTGAACAAAGCGACCATCATTGACTAGTATACCTTTACGTTTCCAATTTGCATTTCCCCTATTTTTTGTACTTGATCCAGATTTTTTTGATGCTCCTCGTATTGTATCTGAAACACATTTAGAACATCTCAAGTTGATAATGATGTACTTATTCATCTTAGTATTGTTTAGTGTGAAGCTGTTTTGTCCATAAAATTCCAAGAAGATTGGCTCCAAGAAAAGAGTACTCAGTTTAACATTAAAGCTTAATCTGTACTTATTCATAAGTACACGGTCCGACATGTCGGCAGACATGCCAGGTCTGCGGTCCATCTGCCAAGTCTGGCTGTTACCACACATGATCTGACCGCCATTCCGACTGTGGAATCTTCGTTTAGGTTCTGTTTTATTCGGTCAGCATCAACACTTTAGTTTGGGACTCAGTTTCAGACATGTAGACCGACCAATAAGCACCATAAAAAACACATACTTTAATTTAAGTTGTAGGCCTACGCTTTTCTATAAAATGGCTTGAAAGAAATAAGCAGAAAAACTCCCGGTGAGTGCAATTTATGTACTGTGGTTCATTAAATACGTTTTGAGGATACAATCCAGGGCAATTATTTAGTATGTCTACATTGGGATATGATGTAATTTTTAGATGTCTACTTACAATTTTTTTTCACGCTGGATCCTAAAATGCAATCAGTTTTTGTCGGAGGGATTCCAAAGTGGCTGTGAAACAAAGGTTAAAATTACGAATCTAAGGTTCATTGAGCGGTACTGATGGTAATATGGCGTGGTCTGGACGGGTCCGTACGTGGGCTGAGGACTGAGTGAGGAGAGCAAACAGCTGTTTATACTCGACTTAATGCGGAATGAAATCAATTAGTTTTGAAACTAAATAATCAGCTCTTATTTAGGCATGTGGGGAAGGTAGGTCAGGTTTTATGCGGTTCGTGATTGTATTAAGTGTTTTGAAGTTAGGTTAGATTAGGTAAGTTAAAGTTTAGGTTATAATGAACCGACTCATTAATTTACGTTATCTCCAGACTGTTTTTGCACAATTAAAATAGTGGGTGAAACACAATGAAATAACAATCATTTTTGATATTGGCACAGATTTAGTTGTTGTACGGTTGGACTGCCACCACTGCCGGACGTTTCGTCTGGTAAATTGTGTGTCACCCGTATTCTCAAAATTTTCCAGTTCTAGAAGTTTCTGAAAACGGGGTTCCAATTTCTGGGAAGGTTCCTCTTTCATATAAGAGGTTCCATGTTCATCGTAGTCGTCATGTCGATACCTTGTTGGTTTTCATCATCGACGGGGTCAACGACTCGATGAAAGGTTCTGCCATCATGAGACTGGGCCTACTCTCCACCATCTCTCCTGGCCTCCTGTGCACCACTACTGAGGGCTATGCCAGCATGGCCACCACCAGAAGGCTAGGCCTACCACCAACTCTGGCCTCACACCGTGCTGTTGCTGCTGAGTCGCATCCACCGCTCCTTTCGCCCAGACACCCAACTCAAACTCAAAAACTCAAACTCTTTATTTGCCATAAAAAACATTACAAATTTGAGCATAGCTCATGTAACAGATGGCATGTCAATTATGCTAGAGTGTAAATTAATTATTACAATTAATTACAATTACAATTATTACAATTAATTATTAAAAAATCAAATACAATGGATAAGATACAGTCTAACAAAAATGAGAATATATACAGTACAACACCCCTGACTCAGACAGATGTGCTCATTTAAAAAAAAAATCGTCCACTTTATAAGGACATGTTGCAGCTAGATGAGTTTCCAGTTTTTTTTAAATGTGTTAGTTTTTTTTCTTTTTTTATCTCTGGTGGAAGGTGATTAAACAGTTTAATTGCCATGTAATATGGACCCTTCTCCAAAAGAGACAATCTATGTTTAGGGTACCGCAGAGTGTCTGTGTTTCTTGTACCCTGAGTCCCCAAACTGTTATTTGAAAAATATTGTTGATGTTTTTTAAAGAATTTCAGAACTTCAAAAATATAAAGAGCTGGTACAGTTAATAGTTTAGAATTTTTGAAATATTGTTTACATGATTTTCTAAATTTTAGTTTAAACATTGCTCGAATGGCCTCTTTTTGTAACTTGAATATCTTGTCAATTACTGATGTCCCACCCCAAAGGATGATGCTGTACCTAACAATTGATAAAAAATAGCCATGATAAACCTGAAGACATGTCTTTATATCTGAGATGTTGGCAATAGTTCTAATAGTATGAAGAGATTTATTAAGTTTTTTTTGTATGGCCAGAATTTGATCATGCCATTTTAAGTTGTCCTGAAGTGTAAAACCTAGAAAGTTCACACTAAGGGAATTTTCACAAAGTTCCTCATTTGGCATGAGGAATTCCTCATTTATTTGTTTGTTTCTATTGTTAGAAGTGAAAGCTAAGATTTTTGTTTTGGAGCAATTCAAACTAAGACAGTTTTTGGATAGCCAGTCAGATATTTCTTGGAGAGTATTTAAAAGCTTTACTTTTGTTATTTGTTTGTTTTGACCCATAATTATTGCTGTAGTGTCGTCTGCAAAAAGGTAAAGTGGAGTATTAATGTTGATTGGCAAATCATTAATGTACAACAGAAACAATACTGGCCCTAAAATAGATCCCTGCGGCACCCCACAGACAACCTCCCTCCAAGTTGAGAAGTGAGCAATTCTGTCATCATCGAACATTTTAACTCTTTGGAATCGTTTTGTCAGATAAGATTCAAACAGGTCATGTGCTATGCCACTAAATCCATAATAACTCATTTTGGATAGCAGCAGTTTGTGGCTGACACAATCAAAAGCCTTGGACAAATCACAGAAAACTCCAAATGTTGTCTGCGATTCATCCAAGGCCCTCAACAAGTCACTCACCAGCTCAAATACTGCCATCTGGGTTGATCTTCCCTGTCTAAAACCGAATTGTTTTTCGTTAATAAGATTATACTTTTCTAAATGAGTAACCATTTGATTTAATATGATCTTCTCCAAAATTTTTGAAAATGATGGAAGCAGTGCTACTGGTCTATAGTTATCTAAACTTCTATTACAGTTTTTCTTATAAATTGGAAAAATGTTGGAAAATTTTAGTTTGTCAGGAAAAACTCCAGTATGTAATACAATATTTGAGATGTGCACCAATGGATTCAAAATGATACTACTAATTTCTTTAATTAATGAAACTGGGATTTCATCCCATCCAGATGACTGTTTAGCCGACAAGCCTGCTATAGTCTTAATCATATCTCTTTTTGTGATTGGACTAAATGAAAAAGTTAAGCTTTGTATCTTTGCATTGTTTATGTAATTTATTGCATCCTGAACTGAACCCCCTATGGAAGACTGTTGCCCCACACTACTAAAATGGTCATTAAAAACCTCAGCTATATCTCTTGGATCCTTTACAATGTTATTGTCACCAATTAACAACTCATTACAATGAAAACCATCTGAGATAAATCCAGTCTCTTTCCTAACTACTTGCCATGTTGTTTTTGCAATGTTATTGGAATGCTTGATTTTTGAAGATATACTATTTTTTTTTTTTTTTTTGCTGCAAATACAAGTCTTTTAAAGATCTTTTTGTAGTTTTTATAGTACATTTGAAAACTTGGGTCAGAAGTCTGCTTTGATTTTTTATGGAGTTCTTTTTTATTCCTACTTGAGATTTTTAATCCTTTTGTCATCCAGTCACACCCATATTTAGAATTTTTATTTGAAGTAAATGTTCTAGTTTGAAAACATTGCAAAAACAAATCATAGAATACAGAGAAAAAACTGTTATAAGCTTCATTACTATCTGCCGAAGACAAACACATAGACCAGTCCTCCTTACTTAACAGATTAGAAAAATGTTCAATTCTTTTCTTAGAACTTAACAATCTGGTTGAAATAATTTCCTTCTTAGTAACTATATTTTTGTTTTTTACGAACAATAACTGAGCAGTGTGATCAGATAAACCCAATTCTATTACCTCTACCCGTACATTTCTGGTCCCTATATTAGTGATAATGTTGTCGATACATGTCCTAGAAAGTTTTGTTATTCTTGTAGGTGTCAGTATAGTAACTTTGAAATTAAAAGACTTCAGAACAGAATTAAAAGTATGCTTTTCATTGTCATTACTCAGCTGGTTAATATTAAAATCTCCACACAAAAATATGTTTTTATTTTTTTTTAGTTTGCTAACAGGTTTAGAAGATGAGTAAGTTTATCTATGAAATGCTTAAAGCTGCTGTTTGGTGTTCTATATATGGCTACAACCAAACATTTTTCTCCATTGCATCCTACAGATAAATCGAGAGTTACCCCCACACATTCAAAAACCGATTCCTCATAAATCTTTTTTATGCTGCTACATTCAGTTGCTTTTATATCATTCCTAACCAATATACATACCCCTCCCTTCTGTTTTGTATCTCTTACACTTATTGAAATTAGCTTATAGTTATGAATTGTATGTGCAACATAGTAGTTTGACTCATTGAGCCAGTGTTCACAGATAGTCATCACTGCTGGACTTAGTTTGTTAATATCTAGAGATAATTCTAAATCAATTTTTGAGCTCCTCAGGCCCTGTATGTTAATATTCAATATTAATAGACTCTCGTCTTTAAAAACTTCGAGGTGCCTGAAGTCTTTCGGCAAGGTTACGGTCAGGTCAGTCCAGTCCAACACTAAAAGGAAGTCACCGCTCAAGACCATTCATAAAGAAATTTGAGTTAGGGCTAAAGTAAATAGGCCTACTTGCACTGTAATATTTTTACCTGCAATGTAATTAATTTTCTTTTGTTTGCAAATTTTAACTTTAACATTTTATTTAATTAATTTTATATCTGGTTTTGCCAATTTGCCTTAAATTGCATTAGCCTAAATTTTGATGTCAATTAAATTTCTTTCCATTCATTCTTAACTTCTGCGTAACGCCACTTGAGTGAGGGTAAATCTTTTATTTTTGGCCGGTTATGATAAACCGCTTGGAGTATATGCTAGGCGACCACATTTCAAGCCATAATAATCTGTGATATTTGTAATTTAGGTGTTTGTTAATGTATGTTATTTATGTAGGCTAACTATTTATTTGAATGTAGGTATACCGGTAGGCTATTTAGACCTAACTAATTTAAAGAATTATTTCAGGGTGGCCACATAACCTACCTTTTCTTGAATGTGAATTTTGTCACTTTTAAAAACCTTTTTTTAGCTCAATGGTAACATTAGGCCTAATTAAAAAATGAACTCTTTAAATTTTAAACTAACTCTTATGTTTATAAATGAAATTTTAGATATTTTGGAAGGCTTTAAACAAATTAAGGTTCAGTTACTCTTTTGGCTAGGGCCTTGTAATAATAATAGAGAATGTTGGTTATATATATTTATATTCTTATTTTGGTGAATAAATTATATTTTGTGCCTAACCAGTTCTTGTCTTGTTATTGTTTGATCCTCCACCTCTCAGCAATATTGTGCCGGAATCCCGTTTTTTATTTTGCGCTTCCAAGGGCTTCACCCTTTTAATCAATGGAGTTGGGACTTCGGTTACAGGTTCATTATAATCTAAACTTTACCTTCCTGATCCATCCTATCTTCAAACGATACAGTCACAAACCTAGGATCATCGATATATAACCTAGGATACAGTTCTTTAATACAGTCACGAACCTGCATAAAGTCCGACCTATCTTCCTCACATGTCTTTTCTGTACTCATTAAAATTAATGATACAGTAAGTTAGAACCTCGATAAAAAGACTCTCATGGAGATAATTAAATAAGACTTGTTATCAAGGTTGACTTCTAATCGAGGCTGGCAATAACATGGCATTAGGATAGGAGTGAAATAAATTTAAGGTAATTTGAAGATTACACTTGTTAAGGGTGACTTGTTATCGAGGGTCTTTATATTGAGGTTCCACACTGTATTTTAATAGGAAATAAATCTGACAATTTTAATGGAATAATTTAGTGGAATTCCAGCCAGTTAAATGGAAATTCACTTAGTCTGCAGGTTTGTTGCGACGGAGGTATTTGGAGTGAAAAAACTGTAAGTAGACATATAAAAATGACATCCTATCCCAATGTAGACATATGTACTAAATAATTACCCAATCCAGAAATATATTGATTAACTTAAACCAAACGTATTGGCAGGAACCAAAGATAAAACATTTGAAATGTAAAATTCTGTTGAAGTACCGGAAGCCTAAATCTAAACAAAAATCAGTTGGGTAGCTATCTAAAAGGTCCTTTCATATGGCTCAAATTTCAGTAGGATGCCGATTGAGTTTGTTGGTTTGAACTTTAAAAACAGCTAACTTAAGTTAGTTTAAATAGAGGAGGCAAGACGACCAGGACGCAATTATTTCAAGTCATCAAGCCTTGTTTGTTGAGCAGCCAGTTCAAGTTTGGCCGGCCTAGCATTTATTATGTCCTCTTTGTTTTTCAATGTAAACTTGAAATAAGGCCTACGTGTACAGTAAAGTTTATTCATAAAGATGTCTGTGACATTTGATTGAGAATGAATTTCATGACCCGAAACTAGTAATCCTCAGACTAGGCTACCGGTACTAACACATAGAAGTAAGAAACAGGATACATTCCAACTAAGGTATAAACAGTATAAGGCCTATTAGCCAGAACTGTTCTTAATGTATTGATGAAAATAACTTAATTGCCTACAAACAATGAAATAAAGGGGTACACTTCCATATCTGTTGGCACTTACAACCAAATGAGTAATATTAGGTAATTATTCAATTGTTTAATTCATATCGTTTGGTTAGTTAGGTTACGTTAACCTTACCTAACTAACCAATCAATATATTGAATAAGTTAATCGATATATCGATCGATATTTTCATTCAGTTGTTAGTGCCAACAGATATGGAAGTGTACCCAAATAAAGTTAACCCTCCAACTGACATGTATCTTATCAATGTCGTAGACCTAGTCCCTCAGAACGAAGTACGGTAACATGAAATAAAGTTATTCTTACTCAAGTCCAACTTACTTTCTGTGGACAATCTTAAAAAAACTACTAACTTAGGGCCTGGTTTTAGTGTAAAATGTATCAATAATTTGAATTAATGAACATTTTTACTTCTAACCTTTAGAAAAAATATTTGCTGATAAGAAGTTCGATAGTTTCTGCTGTGTAAACTTTTGCATTATATTTAATGACATCGTTGTGGTCTGCTGTTCCTAATTCACAAATTACAAAATGGATGGAGACCAATGTTTAATAGTATTTTAAAAATCGTAAATGGTCAGTGACGACAAGAAAGTTCTTTTAGTAAAATTTGATTTAGGGCATGAATGTACACAACACAACACAACAATAACCAACCATAACCTCCAAAATGGAAGGTGACTAGGTGACAGGTGACAGGTGAGATTATGCCATGCGATGCGAAGCAAAACTTCTTTTAGTCTGCACAGGCTTTTGGTTCAGTCAACTAGACAGCCTTGATGTTCTCTAAAAGTATGTACTCTACTCAACCATTGAGCTCATCAATGGTGCAGTGGCCACGGCCCAACCACGGCCGCCTTTAACTCCAGGCCGCGGCCTTCGAAGTGGCAACGTCGCAAGTGGTGTATAACAGCTGTTTTGTTTGGAAGCAGCTAATGGTATTTGTGTATTTACGAAAGATTGGTTATCACTAAGGCCAGGCGCACACAGGCGATTTTGAGTTGCGCAACAGTTGCCCGACTAATCGGGGGACTGTTGCGCAACTCTCTCGGAGACTCTGAAGTCTAGCGACAGTTGAGCTGGAGTGCGCACACAGGCAACTTTTTAGTCGCGGATCTAGTCTTGAGATGTGTTGGAAATACATTCGTAACAGCGTTCCGAATGGATTTCAATGATACAGCTGTAGTATGTGCTTTGTTGCTGAAGTTTCGCGCGCGAAAGAATAAGAGAAGATACTGGGTTCATCCCATAGTGAGCGACTTGTGAAAGGACAGTTTCAATGACTTTAAATATAGTCGGCCTCTTCTCAAACATCCTCATCACGCACACTCATACTTGTAATTTTCTAAAATCTTCACACAACAAGAGAGCAAACACTAGTGACAGTTCTGACCACGAGTAGTTGAACTCCTGGGGTGAGACTGAGCGACACAGCGACTATTTAGTTGCATGTGTGCGCATCTACACTTGTTTCAATGGATACCAAACCTGGAGCGACAGTCCCGCAACAATTCAGTCGCAGAGCAGTCGCTGGCAAATTGGGTCCGGGAACATCGGTTGCAACAGTTGCGCGACTGTCCCCAGACTGTTTCCTTCGTGTGCGCACTCCAATTTAAAACAATGTTGAACATTTTAGTCGGGCAACTGTTGCGCGACTCAAAATCGCCTGTGTGCGCCTGGCCTAACAAGACTACAAGATCGCGCCACTCATCCTACACTCATCCTTCACTCATATTTGGGTTAAAATACGCACATAGTGGCGTCCCCATCTTAAATAATTGATATAATTGATAATTGGACTATGACAATATTGACTCCGCTTAAAATTGTACAGATATAGATTTTTAATTCATTTTGTTTCGGTTTCCAACTCTGTATGTTTTATTTTCAATATTTTAATAAATTTGTGTTCATAAATTTAAATTTAAAACAATAAAGTGCGAATTAATGAGTGGATGTCACCTGTCTGCCATGTTATCTTATGGGTCGTCCTGTCACTAAACAACACCACTTGCGAAATTGCCAATTCTACCATGCCGCGGCTGTAGTTAAAGGTGGCCGTTGCTCAACGGTCCAAGCATGGACACCGTTAAGGTGGCCGTGGCTCCAAGGGAGTATGTTTTATCTATGGCTCCACCCATGCTATCTAACAAAAAGGTCAACGTTAGATAGTAACAAAGTCCATGGTTTGGACCGTTCCCTTTAAAAACGTAAAAAATGCCACTGGAGTAAAAACACACCCGCATAATATGGTGTTTTCTTTGTGACGACTGCTCCCCTCTATGAAGTGAAATGCTCTCCTGGGACAGTACGGGACACTACAGCGAGAACACAGCTGTGGCGAGAATCTCTTGACTATGCTAGTCAAGTCCAAAATTGAAATAGTCCATATAAAGTAAACATCCAAAAAGCCAGTGACCTCATTTGGTAGACGTTATGAGATTCATAACTAATGAAATTATTAGGCACATATCAAAGAGTGAAAGCTATCGCCCATTGGGTTGGAGATCTAAATATCTCTAACACTATCGCTAGCTCGTATGGTCACGCCGATGAGTATCTTTGATATGTAATAAATTTGTTCATTCAGCCCTTTTAACAATATTATTCATAATGGGAAAATAAAGGACACAATATCATAAGTAAGAATATGTACAATTTTTTAGGTAAAAAAACTGCCGTTATATATATATATATTTGTTTTTATTAATGACACATAACTGAATATGAGGCTGATTGTTTGAAAGTCTTAACTTTGTTGAAAACCAAAACCTTTACTAGCATTATAGGGTGGTGCAGAGAAAAGGGAAATTTTGAAGTCGTTGTTGGTACACCTGTATGTCACGTCCATGTCACTGGCCCGGCCATGACGGAATTTAGTACATAAGAGTTATGCTAATATTTAGTACCTATTTCGTACTATTTAGTACCAACAAACAAAAATTTAGTACCCCACTCGGTACCGGATAACTAATTAATTTAAGATTCCGGGCCAGTGACATGCTGGCCCGGCCATTTTCGAATTTGATCCTAATATGTATACCATCATTTAGTACCTATTTCGTACTATTTTGTACCTCCATTAATATAATTTGTACCTCAAAGAAAACCAAACTACGGGGCCGTTAACTGTACAGGTCAATGAACCCTCAGCCCGGCCATGTCGTAACCTGTAGTTATAAGCTATGCTACTATTTAGTACCTATTTCGTACTATTTTGTACCCCCATTAAAATAATTTGTACCTCAAAGAATACCAAGCTACGGGCCCGTAAACTGTACAGGTCAACGACCTAAAACAGAAACGGGGGGGGGGGTATTTTTATTGGCCCGGCTATGTCGTAACCTGTAGTTATAAGCTATGCTACTATTTAGTACCTTGTTCGTACTTTTTTGTACCTTTTGAGGTAAAAAAAATACCTCAAAGATAACCAAGCTACTTGTACTACTAAGGGAGTATGTTTTATATATGATAATACTACTTTTGCAACGTTGCCAATTCTAACCAGGCCGCGGCCTGGAGTTTAAGGTGCCCGTGAAATATACCGTGTGTCTCGAAAGTTTCACTCCTATGTTATTTTTTATTAATAGAGATAAAATTATAATATTAAGGAAATTTTTATATGATCAAATACCCTTGCCTCAGCAAACCTGCAGACTAAGCGAATTTCCATTTGCCTGTTTGAAGTTACACCAAATAAATGTCTCGTTAAAAATATCACATTTATTACCTAAATAGAATTAGTTTAACAACTAGTACTTAGGTTTGCTGCAACAGGGAGGGTAAAAAGTGTTTCTTATTGTAAAATGTTTAGTAAGAAATAAATGCATCTTCCAAATTTGACCAAAATGTGTGTTCATAAACAAGCACACTACAACAGTTATTCTTCATAAGAATAACATGGGAATTTTAAATTTAAGATTTTTTAGGACTTTCTCCATAACCATTAGCCACATAATAACGCTTCTTAAACTAAATTATTTGCTATTCTTCAAGCTCTACATAGTTTTAAAAGAAATTGCAAAATTATGTTTTAATGATAAAAATGGGAAAATTTGGCCTCTAGGGACCTCAAAACGTCCTGGGTACAGGTCTTGCCATGAGTACTATGGTAATTAATTCCCTAAATAAATATTCCTAAGTTAATATTCCCTAAATGGGAAATTCGCTAAAACGGGAAGTTTTTGGTGTATGTAAATTTTCACCCCTTCCCCGCCCCAAGGGGTAGTTTGGGGATAAGTCAAAAATTTTAAAATGTAAGTCCCCTATCGAGTTATACATAATTGTAAATGTCATAATAAAATCAAAATATTGGCACAAACGAAAGGTTTCCACGTCAATCTTATCAAAATTGATGATAGTTCAATGTTTTATTTTAAATAAAATACTTATTTACATAAATATATGAAGAATAAAGAATGGTACTTATTCATGTGAAAAAGTATCTTGATTTAATTTTAGTTAACTGTTTAAAGTCACAAGCAGTTTCCCTGTGCAAGGTGACGGGGCAAGGGTAGCGACCCTGCTTGACCTCATCTGCCAGGCGCTCACTTGGAGATATAACAGCTCTGTTAGTTTGCTCCCGGCCGCGACAATTTCCAAATTAATTGCAATAGGCCTAAAGCTTGTTTTTATACTTTTAAGAGAATCGCTTAAGCGGGTGGTTTGTGTACTGTTTTAATAATTATTTTAGGAAAATTTGTTATTTTTTATTACTTTAAAACATGATTTAATGTGTTTTATTTTGCTTTTTAAGAAAAACTAAACTTTGAACTGTCATAACTTTTGATAGGATTGACATAGAAACCTCTATTTCGCACCATTCTTTTTCTTTTATTATGGCCTTTACAATCGTGAGGATTTATAGGGGACTTACTTTTGAAAATTTTGACTAATCCCCAAACTAACATAAAAGTTAGGGAGGGGGTAAAAATTTACAAACACCAAAAGCTTCTGTTTTTTATCATCTATAAACATTTCCTGAATAAATTGTTTATTATTCATGATTTAGGCCTATTAATGATAACTTTTCTAGGAAATTGTAAAATGAATAGAAATGGATAGACCATGCAAAAGTGTGTGAGTGAATAACATATATTTTATACTTGAAATACATAACATAATATAAAATAATATTCACATTTTTAAATAACTTTTCTAAATTGATTAAAATATAGTTATGACATGGTGCCTCACGAAGATAGTGGAGCCAGCACCTTGCTGTTGAAGAATCTGGTTGTGCTCAGATTCTTCTCCAGGATCTGAGCCTCAGAAGTTTTTGGTTCAAGGTCATTTAGGTGATTTTTAAGTATAGAGTGAGGGGTTTTTCATATACAATGTCACAGTTATACCAATTAGCATATTAAACCACTGTGAATACAAGGTAGAAATGGTTGCTTGAGTCCAGTTCATTTTTATTTCTGTCACTGTCCTTGGATTTCTAAACTAGGTAAATTAATTTTAACGCAAATTTATATAGGTACACAAAATATGTCCCTTTTTCTTAAAACTTTGTAACAGTATCAGAATCAGGCTAAGATCAGAGGAGCTTGACTTAAAATATAATTTTTCTATTACTTTTTCAAATTTGGTTATTTTATACTGACAGGTAACTGCCAGACAACTGTTAAAAATAAAATCAGTATACAGAGTATACCTAACTAATTGTGCAATAGTAGTTTTTCAAATTGGTGGAATCTGTTGAATAATGAATGAACACATTTCAACATATTTTTAGATAAGAAGCAGACAATAACAAACCTATTGGAATATAAAAAATATCAGTCTGTCAACTTTGGTCTTTGTGATATCACTTATCTTAATTCTATTTCATCCATGTTGTTTTTTCAGTCAGAGGTAGATATTTGAACAGTCCAGTATCACCCTGGAATTATTTATTTCAATTTTTTTTATGGTAAATAATACTTTATCAAACTTAAATAATTTAAAATGTTTTTATTTCTAATATTCTTTCTAGTGTTTCTGACAGTGGTATTTATATTTGATAATTTTTACACATGGTCTGGATTAAGGGTTCGCAAGCTCATAGCTAAAACTCCTGGCTACTCGGAATCTAAAAGCTGGCTTCTAGCGTTTGAAGTGGCTAAGCTGCCTATGGAAGGTACCAGTTATTATAAATAGTTTTTGATTGTTATTGTTTAATATAAGTATTAGCTTAAAATAAATTTAAATTGAGGGAAATACTATGAAATACTAAAAGAAAATATACACAAATTTAAACGGATACCTATTAAAAAAATGATATTTTAGGGCAAATTCTTTTTGTTGCAGATTTTTTATTGAGTATTGTATTTTTTTTTAACAATCAAACTGATAGCAGATTATACTGGAAATTATAACTTATTTATACAGTTAAGTCATTATTTTGATATAAACTGTACACATGAAAATACCCCCCCCCCCCCCGCTGCAGCAAATCTGCAGACTAAACGAATTTCCATTTACCTGATCGGATTTTTACTAAAATATCTCCTTAAAATGACATATTATTTATTCAGTATCTAAATAATATTAGTTTAACGAGTGCCTGCTACAGGGAAGAGAAGTGGTGTTTTTCGATCAAATTTTAATAGTATAGGATGAGTTAAATAAATTTTCCAAATTTTATCAAAATATATCGATTAACAAGTAAACTACAAGTGTACTTATTCTTTATTATAAGAATAAAATGGGAATCTTAAATTTAAATTTTTTTAAACTTTTCTACTTAACCACTTAGCGCATAACCACACTTCAATATTAATTTTATGTTTTTAGGATCTAAATTGGGAAAACTCTATTTTTTCCCTGTAAACCCCCATAGACTCCTGTTCCCATAGTCAGACCATGCTGCTTTGCGAACTTATTTGAAAAATATATGTTTACAAGTCTATACTAAATATTGTCAGATAGTTTTTGCTCGAGTTATCACACTAACAGACACATATATTACATATATATATGCAATTGAACTGATCATGTTTTTGACCTCTGGGGACCTCAAAACAAAAAAGTAAATCCGTCCTGGGTCCAGGCAAGGCCCCACTAGAAAAAACAGGCCATGCTGTAGGATCCATGACGTCACATTAGTGGATAGATTCCATTGATAAGTTCATTGCCGTTGTCATTCTCATATGTTTTAGGTAAATAAACAAGCTGGCTGTTTGTAAGATTTTAATGGTAAGAGTTTAGTACAACTATCCACCACTGTGACGTAGTGTTGCGCTGCCCGTCCTGCAGCATGGCCTGTTTTTCTAATGTAGCCTTGGTCCAGGTCTCACCATGAGACCTATGGCAGTTAATTGCCTATTTCCTTTTTTTTATTTTCCAATAATCACATAACATCATATTCAGACAGGTGATTCGTCATTGTTACAATATTTTATAGTCTCTATACTAAAATTATTACTAAAATAAATTTCATATGCTGAGCCTTAACATCTACACAGCTACCATATTCCTCCAATGAGAAGAAGGATCCCACATGGATATATGGGAAATTCGCTAAAAAGGATGGTGTTTTAAACTGTTAATTCATACAAAAATATTTTAATATATATTTTTTAAATATTTTTATATCGTTTTATACAAAAATATGGGGAGGATCAGTCAATTACACATACCAATAGCTTTATGGTTTTTCTTTGTATAGGGAAATAATTTGTTCGGATTGTGAGGTATTAAAACAATTATTTATATTCACTTTGGCCAAATAGTTAAACCACACTTTTTAAATGCAACCATAGATTTTACTAATTAAGTTACTTTTAACTCTTATTTTTATTTTGTTTGGAACATCTTAAGCTTTATAAATTAATGTTAGTTAATTTAAAATAAAGTTTAAAATACAACAAAATGGTAAGACATTTTGGTGATCCTTAATTAAAATATTCATACATCCAAAAATTTGCTTTTACTAACATAAATTTGGTGATCTAATGCATCCAATGTTTGGAAACAGAGAATAAGAATATAAACAGAACAAAAAATTACATCACAAGGGGCTGGGTTGGTGATATGAGTCATTTAGAGATAGTCGTAATGTAATTAAACTAATAAAAGGCAAAGTTCTGGTGTATACTACAAACAATAATAATGGCATCATAAGGTTATCTGTTCGTTCTGTTATCCTCTCGTTACAGACAGATTGAGTAGTCAATTTTCATGTGTTCAGTAGTTAAGAGTTAATCTTTGTAGTGTACATACTATTGGATTTTTTTAAAATTTTTTTTTACTCTTGACCAAAGTTTTAAAATGTTCCTAATTCTTATATTAACTATTATGTTTTTAATTTTTGTGTTTTTATTTTGCCACTTTTACCATTGGTCTGGACTACGTGTTCGTAAATACATGACTAAAATACCGGGTTATTCCGAGCCTCAGTCGTGGATGTTGTCTTTTGAAGGTGCTCTGATGCCTACAGAAGGTACTTTTGGTGATTTATTCTTTTACATAGTTCACGTAATCAAGACGCAAAAAGCATATTAACTAAAGAGTATTGTCAGATAAGAGTAGTTTTGTAGTTTCCGGTCTGAGTATGATTGTAGCCGCTTCTTAAAATAGTGTAAACCCAAATACAATATAACTTCTTATCTTTGAGCTAGAGCTCACATTCACCTCCATCTATAGTTTAAATAGTAACTCATTTAAAAAAAGAAATTAAATCTTTTAAGCCTTAAAAAACAAAAGGAGTTGTCTTAAGCAATACAAAATTATTGTTCATATATTTATTCTCTGTTAATTTTTTTGTTGCCATTTTGTTACCGGTAGATTTACAAATTTTATACCTTGTTATGTTTGAATATGTTGTATTGTAGCACTAAATCTAACTAAGACTGTGATCAACATCTTAGGAACTAATTTATGTTTTGGAATAATTAAGGACTGACAATCAATTTTTAAGAAATCAAGACAAAGCACCTGTACATGTGATTTTCACAAATTTGTATGTTATTTGCAAATAAATTATCATTATCATTAAATCGCATCTCCGATGGAAGCACAAACGTTATAATAACACATACAATACAATAATCAAAACTAACTTTGTTTTACTTATCAAGAATGAGTACAGAGTCTGACTTATCCCGGCTGGCTCCAAAATCTAAATGTAAAAAATAAAAAAAAATATTTTATGTTATGCACAATTTTATTTTAAATGATTTTGATGTATGTGTGGTTATAAGCCTAAGTGATTAAAATTCATTGTACTAGCCCCGGAACTAATATTGACTAATTAGTTTTATATTACCTGTTCCAAATTTCCAATTTGCTAATTTGGATCTGATGATAGGTGATATAGAACCAATTAGTATACGTGACAATCAGCGAAGAGGATGATTCGTGTTTCTTTTGACCAGTTAATGGGTTATTTCAACCCGAAATGTATACAAAGTCAAATGAACATACTGACTGGGTAGAAACATAAAATAAACTATGGGATCTATCTTTAAATTTAAATTTTTACAAAATTATCAATGAATTTTAAGATAGAATAATAAAAAAATTCCAGAAAAATTTAATAATTACTAAAAAAATTTTAACATTCACCTTCGCTTAAAATTACTTTTACGTGTTCAAAGTGTTTCAATGCTTGTTATAAATAATAATGAAGATTTGCATCTTCAGTTCATACATATCATATGAACATGTAGTCTTTTCATGGCGCTTACAGAAGGCACTGCTCTGGAAATCATATTCTTATTTACATAGTGCAATCCAAATCATATTATGAACAAGTAACATGTATCTCTATTTTTGTTTCAGGTGTAAGAGACTTTTTACACAAAATATTCAATCCCTATCCTTCTATATGTTCAGTTTGGTTCTTAGGATTTCCTAATTGCAACCTTGGTTCACCAGAGAATATAGAGGTGAGAATAAAAACACAAAGACTAGAATAAAACTCGGCATGGATCAGAAACATAAACAATTACGTTTTTAGCCTGAATCCTATAGCATTAACATATGTTTTGGCAGTTCCATATAAGCAATGTTAAATCATGTTTATTTTCGTGCGAAAAACGTCATTTTTTATGTTTATGATCCATACCGGTTCTCTTCCGGAGCGGCTGAAGGGAGCCTCTCGGAATGAAACAAGATTAACAATGACGTCATCACACCGGCAGTTACTGTCATAACCTAACCTACCTAACCAAACTTGATGATAATGAAAAAATTAAATGACGGTTAAATTCTGTTCATAAAATAAAATTATAAATGCCTCAACAAAAGATGTACAGTTAAGAAGAAATGGCATTCTAAGCAAAATCTTGACAAAAAGTTAATATCACCGATGGGATTCGATCTAGATATCTCTTGCACATCAGCGGAGTATCCACTAAGCCATGAACACCGATAGCTGTACATCACAAGCCAGCAAAGAAAGAAGCAGACGAATTTGATTACGCGAGTCGCGAGAAACAATGACGTCAATCTTCATCAACAATCTTCATCTAAAGAGGCTCCCTTCAACCGCTTTCGTTCTCTTCAAGTATTTGTGAATAAAAATAATGTGCAAATATTTATGTAAACTAGAACAAGTAACAAACAACCTACAAGTACAAACCTCAAAACACAAGTACCTCAAAAGTATTTATTTATATTTTTTAAATATAATATCTCATTTTTGGGGTTTTTAACACAAGGGTGTATTTGGTGAATTCTATTAATGTATAAACAATGTATATGTTGCTTTTGCTTTAACTTATTAATTTTGTATGTTTTACGAATACTAATAATTTTGCTGGTCAAAACTGTTTAAATATTTGTCTTTATTTTCAGGTATTGCTGAAAAGTGTCCAGCATATCACAAAAGGGAGAGAGTATTTTATTTTCAGTGATTGGTTGGGAGAAGGTCTGCTCACAAGTACAGGTCAGTAAGTCTGCACAAAAACAATAACTACAATGTCAAAATTGAGAGTGTATTTAATTCTTTTATAGCTAATACACATTAAATAGCCCAATAACCCAATTTTTACCACATAAAATCCCCCATAAGCCCCTTTTCCGATAGTCCGATCATGCTGGTTCGCGAACTTGTTCGAATAAACGTAGGTTTACACTTTTGTACCAAAATTCATCAAAACCGGATAATTTTTCCTCGAGTTATCGCACTAACGGACACACACACACATATATATATGAATTTGAACAGATGGTGTTTTTGTCTCTGGGACCTCAAAACGAAAAAGTAAATCGGTCCCGGGTCTAGGCCTACTATGAGACCTACGGTAATAGCTTATTCCCTATATGGGAAATTCGCTAAAAGAAGAAAACTAAACAGTCGACAAAAACTTGAGAGCAAATCACAAATATTACAATACCGGTAGATGAGTCAGAGCATTGTCAGAGTCTTCATATGACTTGTCACATGGAGGAACAAGCTCATTGATGGTTTATTTCCCTCTCAAGTGTAATCAACTTCAAAGATATACGTGTTGTTAAAACAGTCCGGAAAATGTTCGCCTATCAACAACATTAAATACTCAGCTGATGAGTGCACTTAACCATTCACTTTGGACGAGTTAGACATTTTTTTACTGTACTGCCATTGTAAGTATACAAAGTTTTTGACAAAGGTTCAGGTTTAGTCATAAAAAGCTACACTATCTCACTCCATTCTACACTCATCCTTCAATCATATTTGGGTCAAAATTCATCTAGTTAAGTCTCCATCTCAGTTGGTGATTTAAGTATAATTGAATTTACTTTTTGTAAAATTTTATTAAGAAATATAACCTTCTTTCTGCTATAACCACAAAATTACATAATCAAAGAACAAATAAAAAACAAATTCTGTTAGTGGCTCAGTCAAATGTTATCTTTTACATAAAACTTCGTAAAACCAAGTTCTATCAACGATATAACATTTTCCTTTGTCACTAGGAATATGACCTACCAGTGATCAGTAATTAATTAAATGTTGAAATGATTTTATACAGGGGCGAAATGGCATGCAAACAGAAAAATGCTGACACCAGCATTTCATTTTCGGATCTTAGAAACATGTGTTCCAATCTTCAACCGAAACACTGAACTTCTCATGAAGATCCTTACATTGAATTTAAAAAGAGAAAATTTTATGAATATCGAAAAATTTGTTTCTCTTTGTTCGCTAGATATCATTTCTGGTAAGTTGAAAAGTAAAGAAATAAAAAAGAGGTTTCATTTTTAGACTATATTTAGTTTAAGTCTTTTTAGCTGTCAGGATTTAGTTTACACACTGCATTTCAGAAATGATATATTTTCACTCTAGCATATGCAAGACCGTTGGTACCGTTCTCACCAAACACAAAAAAAACTGTGATGGTTATTTTATTTAAGAAGTACAACCAACTTACAAAGAGGCTACTTATATTTTGGTCATTTATTTCTATCTAACAATATGAAGAATAAGAAACATTTTTGGTAGTTGGGGTGAAATTGTCTTGCAGGCTAAATCTAAAATGAGTAAAGTTAGTTTTTTGTGGAGAATTTTGTTTTTAAATTGAACAGCTAAAAACCGTACCTTATACTAAAGTTTACAAATAATCAATATTTTGTTTATAGAAGCTGCCATGGGCGTACGTATTGAAGCACAACTCCAAAAGAACTCTACGCTGGAATACGTAAATGCTGTGAGAAGGTAGTATCATTGACTTTAATTTCAAAGACTTAATGTATAGTAATTTATATAATTACGATTGTAACTGCAGTGTAAGATTTTCTGATTCAAGATGAACAAGTCTCAGATTCATAGTTTTGAAACAATAACAAATAATGACCCATGTAGGAGAAATGAGATAGCTAACAGAACAAAGGGCAATTAGCCTAATCCAGATTGGAATATTTCAAAAGTTGTTTACATTTATAAAACCGGATTCTCGATAATGATGATAGTGACACCAATACAATATGGATCTATATTCTAGTTCAATTTGGAATCTAATCACTGTTAAACTTACAGAAAACAGATAAAAACACTATATTTAGCAGTCAAAAATCTTTAGTAAACAATCTATTTTTAAATCGCATGTTTTACTCGGAAAAATAGATTTTCTTGATTTTTATGAGCACTGCTGCCACTTAATTGAAAGAGGTTTTTCCAAACCGAGACTTCTGTCATATGTTTGTTGTTCTTTAATATTTATTTAGTTATTATTAAGATCATCTGGAGATTGTTTTTGTATTGTATTTACAAATAATTCAGTTGGTAACATTTTATTCCTAAGATAAAAATTGTTAATCAATATAAAACTTCTTTATTTGACATGGTGGCAGCGGTTTAGTTTTTTGAAAAAATGCCAAAAAACAATAGATTATCAATCAGAGGAAACAAATCAAATCAATCATCAGAAACACATAATGTTCTAGAACTAAGACAGCAGCAAAATAGGACTACATCAGTCATGTTTCAACCTCCTGAACCTTTTGATTCAAAATATCCAGAATTATGGGAAAAGTGGTTTAAGCGATTTGAAAGGTATAGAATTGCATCAGGACTGGACAATGAACCTCAAGTAAAACAAGTAAGCTGCTTGATTTACTGTATGGGGCCTGATTCTGAGGATATCTTATCAACAGCACACCTCTCAGAAGATGACAAAGCCTCATATGAATCGGTAACAGAAGCCTTTGACAACATATTTACTGGCAAAAGAAATGTCATATACGAACGAGCAAAGTTTAATTCAAGATCACAACAACCAGATGAATTATTTGCTACATTTCTGGCAGACATAAGCTCAATGGCCGAACACTGTTCATTCAAGAACCTTAAAGCAGAACTAATACGTGATAGAATTGTAGTGGGTATAACTGATAAACGTTTATCGGCCCAATTACAAGAAGATTCAAATCTTACATTGGAAAAAGCAGTTCAAAAATGCAAACAAAAAGAGTCTATCAGCAAACAAGCAGCTGAACTAGAAATGATATGCCAAGGAAAACATGCAGAAATTGACCGAATCAAATCAGACCAAAAACAAAGTGCAAGATTTAACAAAACCCATGATTTAAAGACAGCTAGGAAAGAATGTTGTTGGAACTGTGGAGGTCCAATGCACCCCAGGCACTTATGCCCTGCAAAAGATTTAGCATGCCATTACTGCCAAAAAATCGGTCACTTTGCCAAACATTGCAGAAGCAGATTATTAGAGACTAAAACAACGGACAACACGAAGAGACTCAACGAAATAAGACGTTTGGACAAGCCTGACAACACTGAAGCTTCAGTAGCATATTTAGGACCTGTGAATGCTTCATGCTATGACTCCAGTTCTTGGTATGTAGAAATATTTATCAATAACCAGTTAGTTAAAGCGAAACTTGATTCAGGCGCAGAAGTTACAGCCATTCCTTCAAATGTAATTCATGCAAAACTTATGAAATCTGACCGTATACTTAGGAATGCTGATCAGAGGGAACTAGATGTAAGAGGTATGTTTATAGCAGACATAGCTTACGATGGGAAAATGGTAAAAGAAAAGGTGTATGTTGTTGCAGGATTAAATGAACCTTTACTTGGAATTCCTGCGATTAAATCTTTAAATCTCATAACCCTCAGAAAACCTGATACTGCAGGACTTAACTCAATTACCTTAGACTCTATGTTAACTAGCCACCCTGAGCTTTTCATTGGTCTGGGTAGCATTCCAGGAGAATATAAGATTGAATTGAACGAAAACGCTCAACCGCACTCGGTTCGAGCTCCAAGAAACATACCGTTTGCCTGATGGTGTAACGGACTACAACAAATAGTTTTAAACCCAAAATCGGCTGCAAAGGCTCTCCATTCTGAGCTTGTAAACTGTGAGCCAGAATCAGAAATTACGATTTCAGGGATCCCATGTCGAGCAAAACAGGCTTTCATCTTCTTGATTAGTTCATCTACAGTCATTGTGGACACATTTATCATTTCCAAGTACCGTGAATAATAGTCCACAACAGCCAAGTATTTGCCTTTCACAAAGTCAAAGTAATCAACTGCTATTCTTTGCCATGGATAGTCAGGAGTGTCTGATTGAATCATTTTTTCTGACTTTTGGTTTTGGTGTTTAGCACAAGTGTCACAATTTTCAATCAAGTTATGTATCTCTGTTGTAATTCCTGGCCAAAACACAGATTGTTTCGCTCGGAGGACTGTGCGTGTAGACCCGAAATGACCATCGTGCAGTTTATTAATGATATCTTTTCTAAGTTCAAATGGGATAATAATTCTTTCTTTATAACATATCAAGTCTTCTATTATAGATAGGCCGTCTTTAAAGGTATACCACTTTCTCATACTCTCTGGCACATCCTTCTTATATTTAGGCCATCCATTTTCTGTGTATTTCACCAACATCTGACATTCTTCACTCAGGATCTGGGCATTCTTTATTTGTTCCAATCTTGACTGTGTTGCTGGAAAGTTTAAAGATATTTTTAGAGAACTGGACAAACTATATAGAGCAACTCAAGCAGATTACTTCAATAAACGGCATGGAGTGAGAGATGAAAAGCAATTCACTATTGGATGCAACGTGTATATTCCTGATAGGAGAGAAGATGGGAAGATAGTTAATAAAGTAGCTCCAAGATCATACACAGTTAAGACAAACGAAGGCATGTTACGTCGCAACGGGGTAATGCTAAGACAACTACAACCCAAAACATCTGATGACCCTGGAACTGAGCCTAATTGTTTTTCCTCATTTGGTGGACAAATAAATCCACCAATAAGAACATGTCTTTAAAAAAAGGGAAAAGAAGATGTTGTGACAGTTTTGTGTATAATAAATACTTGTTCTGAATGATCAATGGCCATGATCATTATGAGATCAAATGGGAATTTAGGAGCTCCTTCCCATGAGAACGCAACATTATTTACTTTGCTGTCATGACTTTGTGTCAGGGTTTTGAAGGCATTAAATAAATCCCATCAGCTGAAATATTAACTTGGTGAGCAACAGCCTGTGCCTAGCTGGACTTTGTCCACTCCTATTCCCCACCCCCCTGCCAGACAGGAAATTTGTATCCTGACATGTCAGTCACAACTATGAGCAAATCTGACCTCTTCTACAAGGCAACTCCATGCAGTGAGGATGTTTTAAAGTAATGCAGTATAGTTTAGCCATTTTGAAGAGTTTGCAGTTAGAAGATCAGTGTCCAGCCTTGTGAACATCAACCTTTTCCCTTGTGTCCATTCCTTTTGGATTTATTTGGCAGAGGTAAGATTAGTCAATGATCAATTTTGTAAATAATTTGAACCCAATTTTAATCCATTCATGATTTAAATACATTTTAATTTAATATTTTCTGGTTCTTGATTTGGAACTAATGGCCAGACATGCAAACTGAGAATTTGGAATATTTCAGAGTAAATCATTATTATTTAATAAGTAAGATATTTTGTCAATTTGTTAGTCATATAGTTTTAGTCAGTTTTAAAGAATCATAAATATGAAATTTTCATGGTTAGTTAATATGATTGGAATTTCACAATTTTGTAATATAGTGCAAAGTAAAACTTGTCTAGAGGAAAAAACATGAAAATTGCTGACCATGTGCTTTCTAATTTTAACTTGTTAATTTACATGAGAATTTAATTAATTGTAATAGTAATGCTGTTCTGTATCCCAATGTAAGTTTTAAATATTTGTTTCCTTTGTATAAATTAATTGTTTTGTGTTAATATGAGTCAAATAGGGTAAAGTATTAATGATTTTGATGATTAAATAATGACACTAAATGTAGGCTAGTAATTATTATGTTTAAAGATGATTTACATGCTTATTGAAGATTCTAAAATATTAAAATATTATGTCATGTTTGATTCACTGTAAAATTCAGGTGTCAAAAGGTTGAGTAGGTTAAAGTCGATGAATTGATATAAATGTTAGTTATTCTTTGAATTATTATTAATTAATTTTAACAAAATATTCCAAATTCTCATGAGAATTGTGTTATTATTTATGTCACTAGTTAATTTAAATGTTGTTTAGCTATAAAATATTTGTCACTGTAAACTTTAGTTGTAAATATTGTGTTGGAAGTGATTTTTATGTCTCAGTAATGATTGCAAATAGGGAACACAGTTCAAGAAAATTACTTATTTGATCTGATACTGGGTAAAATATGTTTAAATTGTCTATATACTCTCAGAGATTTATCCTCATGTTTAATTAACTTTATAGTGCTTTAGTAGCTACTGAACTCAAAGTAGTAAATTAGCCCATTGAATTGAAAGTGTCAAAGGTAAATAATGCTACACCGAATAATATGAAGTTATATGCGTTATTCTGAACTTTAAACCAATTTGTGTATAAACCTCTGAATTTTTCTGGACTTACCATGTGTTAAAGGACTTCTGAAAGATTAACATAATTTACTATTTTAAAGTGTGTTAGTCTTCAATACTAGAGTGTGTGGGTTTTGCACAGGGAAAAAGTCTGCGGACTTGATTTTGGTTACCTATCGCCCTTTGGATGTGGACTGTGGTATCTTGGACCTGCTCTGGCATTATTCCATTTGTGGCTAGAGGACCTCGACTTCAACACAACCTGTGACATTGACAGACTCACCTGTGTCCGTGCAGTCAACCTGTGTACAACCTAACTTCGACTATACCAACGCTCTCAAACAACAGATAGGACAATTATTTTA